ATCATTTACTGATTGTAAGTACGAATAAATTGTCAAATAATCTTTGTTCTCGAAGGAGACTTCGTTAGTACCAATAAATATCATTGCAAAATATAGAAAAAAAACTTTTAAAAGCTTTCTTTTTAGCAAATCCAAAATTTCCGCATTTTTATATGAAATAGAGCAATTTTTCTATTTTATATTTTGTTAGACTTTGTCATATAAAACTGTTTGCCTTAAAAATCAATACGAAATGGATTGTTGATAAATAATGGCTAGGTAGAATTTGATATCATACAATTGTAGGAGGTTTCTGTCATTAAGAGACCCAACTTGTTTAAAGTTGAAAAAAACTTTTGGAAAATTTACGGAGAAATATGGGAACTAAGGCAAACTTTTGTCGGGGCCAAGGACGCTTGAAATTTATTTCTTCATTCTCATGGACATCGTCTTCTTAGAAGCAATTTTGATTGGATACTCAAAAATAGAGTTAAATTAAGCTCTATCACATTGAAAGTGTTCAAATATGATTTAATTGCTAGCATTTTGAAACGAATCGCATGCAATTAGTTATTAATTATACATGATTGAAAGCTAACTAACAATAACATGAAAAATTGGACTTTCAATGCAAATATAGCTGCGCAAGTGTTTAATTTTTAATAAGGGTTTATTTAATTTCTCACAAGTATTTATTTAATTCTTGATTCAAATATGAACCAAATTTAAAATTTCAAAAAGACTCGTCAGGTGTTATTAGGCAAACAATTCACAGTTGATCAAAAAAATAAATTCAGATTTCCCTCGGAACCGATATCTATCACAATGAATCCGGTTGGGTGAGTAACAGAATAAAACCAAAGAAACATTCAGAAATGAATGAATGAAAAAAAAAAAATGCAATACGCAACTGTATAAAATTAGAATATGCAATGGTATATCGAGATTTGTTTTATTTTACGTGCAGAAGAGAAATATTTTGCCTTTTCTGGCATCTAATCCACCTGGATCACTCCATTAATTTTCCCTTATAACAGCCTGAAATACAAATGAATACTTCCACTTTCACTTTTCCAATACGAGATGGATTTATTACTGGTACTAAGCCATCTGAAATAGTTAAAAGTTTAATTATCTTTTGTTTGCGTACAAAATGCTGAGAAATCTTTCTAACAAATATTATTCCTTTGCAGACTTTGGTCTAAGCGGATGAACAGAAAGCATTCGAAGTTTTAAACAGAAGTTTTCATATTGAATTTGAAGCAAATTAGAATCAGGAAGAAGAAAGACAGAGGTTCATTTTGAAATCATACAGTATTTCGAATGTTCCGAGTCGTGGTATTGCAAGGAAAGAAAATTACACCCATTATAATACCATCTTTTGTTTAGTGCAGAATTTTTTAGTGTTGAATCAAACTGTGAATTCTATTCGCATAGTAGATATCACATGTTAACCTTATTTTAAAATACTCCTGCATTACTACTTTACTTTTTGCTTGGCATTTTTAGCCAAGGTACTTGTTGATATCGTTGCTGATGTCATTTAGAATAAACCGGTACGAAGGGAAAAATAAGTTGTGGTTATCCGAAAAATCGGAAGAAAGTGCGGAAAAGTTCTCCAGAAAACGATTATAAATCTGTCCTTTGTCATGTACTCATCAGGCTCAGATCCATCTACTTCAGGATTTCAAAATTTCTTTTTGTTTTTGGTAAGGTGAAAGTTTTTGTGAGTGAATGAGTGAATCAATCGATCACTTTATGCTTGTTGGATATCATTCGATGCCTGTCGTGGCCTTTCTCCAATGTTCCGATCAATCAAGCAGTAAAGAACAGTTGTTGCTTGACGTTATATGTTTAAGATATTTTTGGAATATCTTAGTTTATGTGTATGAGAGGGAGAGAGGGAGAAGAGAGAGAGAGAGACGAAAGAGGAGTAGATGGAATGAATAGACAGGACACGATCGAATTCAACTTCCCTCTCTTCCAATCGTTGCTTTTCAATCACACCTTCCTTTTCATATCTCAAAAATTTTGAGCAAAATACCGCAAGAGTAATAAAAGCTAGCTACTACTACCCCACTATATAGTTGGCAGGAGGAAATTATTTTTGTTCTAAAAATTACAAGTTCTTGAAAAATTTGAAATTCCCTCAAATATTGTACTGGTTACAATTTTCTTACCAGTATGTTATCTATGATTACTTTATTGAACCTAATGAAAAAGCTGAAACAAGTGATTTTGCAGTAAATTGTGTTACAAATCATCTTTAGAAACAGAAATGTTGCAAACTGGTAGAACACTTAACTATATACGGTATTTCGATTTGAAAGAAGTGCAGATAGCTAATAAATTCTTCAAAATCTGCAATAAAAATAACAGGATTGATAAGAGAATAGAGTAAATTAAAAAGAAACAAATGTTTTATAAGTTTGATCATAGAGTAAAGCATTCAGGCACTTCTAATTCACTCTTTCCACCCTTCCAATTCTTTTCCCTCATCTTTTTATTGAAAATGAAAAACAAAATTGCAATGTCTTGTTTATTGAAAATGAACGCTTTGTGGAAGAATACAACCCTTTCTTACAACAGATTCTCTCAGCTCAGACCTTCCATCTCTTCAAGCATAAATCTATTTTGGCACATGCCATTCCATCCCTCCCTAATTATTCTCACAAATTTCACTACCACCCTATATTGCTCGGATCAATTTTCTTTTCAAGGTTTATTCTATTCTGCATTAGTGAAACAAAAAAAAAAATTTTTAGTGAATCAGTAGCAAATTTGATATTAGATGTTATTTGCAATATGGAATACGAGGATATTATCTTTTGGATGATCCCAAAGAACGGATGATCATAGAATTCAGATCACTTCAAATTGGGATATATACCGGTTTAGCTATCATTTGCTTTCGCATTAGATTGATTTCGAATTAACAGAACTGACAAAACTTTGTTATATATATAAGTCTCTTACTGGGGTGGAACGAGCTCCTGAATTCACTGAATTTTTGATTGATGATAGGATTAAATGATCAAAACAGCATGCATGCCAGAGCCGAACATATAGTTGAAAGGGAATAAATCGAAAAAATATTCCATTTTCCCCCATCCTTTTTTGATATATTTTTTTTCATCTCACAGCCACTCAATGCTAGACTAAACGAAAATGTAAGTGTCGGAGTAAAACGTAGGTCTCTTTGTCCGAATCTATCCTGATTTATCACTCCTAACGATTATCTTTCGAAATGCATCTTTAATTCTTTTGCAAGCATTCCCTTACCTATGACACAGAAAATTTGGCTCAAACACTTTTCGCGGGGCTATAAATTATTGACAGAACACTTTGCACGAGTTTGTTCGACCTATGGTTAGCATGGCCTAGGATGAGGGATAGAAGGTCAGAATGAGACTTCGCTTCATGAGGCTTTTCTTTCCTTTTTTTTTTTTTTGGAGAGGGTTAGAGTCTAATACTTTATTTTATTTTATACCATAATATATATTGAGCTTTTTCTGTAAGCGGTTGGCATCAATCAATTTCAATTAGATTGCTATTATCGTGTTTCTCTGTAAATAATACAGGGTATATATATTCCAGGGTAATATTAATTATTATATTACTTCCTTCCCGATCAAGGCTTATTTTCAGGAAATGTCTTATTTTCGGAAAAACACGGCAAGTTTGGAGGCTCGATGCGGCCAGCCGCTGCTCCCCACCGACGTGCTGAGCGGCGACGAGGCCGGAAAATGGCCAGCACAAAATGGGGTGGGCCTAAAGCCCCATCCAGAGTTCGCCGCGGCTGCAGAAAGCGCCGGCACTAGTGCTCCTTGTAGTTGCGGCAAGGCTGAACTAGGTCTTATTTCAGGGAAGGGCTTTTATTAAGCCTCTACTTATTAGACTGTTAGACTTCTCAACTTTAAATTTACTTTTTTGTAATTTTCAAATGATGTCAGTTCTGATTCAGTGCCGTGGGAGACTTTAACACTTATTGTTTGTTGCCAGAATGTGTCTTGAGAATAATCGGAACTATACCTAAAATCCTATGTCGTTATTTTAGCTCTCCATTTTTTGTAAATGAATTCACCCCAAGGAACTAGCAGATATGCAAACATTGCAAATCTGCTAATTTTATTTTATAATAACTAATATCACTCTAACCCAGTGATATTAGTTTATCAATAAAACAAAATTACATCCCTCCCCTTTTTGAACCTAGCAATTCCGCAATTCTTATGTCAAACTTCGCATAAAAGAAATTTGCAAGGTTCTTTTGTTAAACATTTCAGATACAATATTATATACCCGAGTGTTTACTATAAATCATCTCTAAAATTTAATAAGCATAGCGGATGATATCATGAAAAAACATGGAAATGTGTTCAGTTGATAGAGAGTATTCTTCTAAATGCGATTAATAGATATTGCTAATTTTCCAAAGTACAGAATTATTCTGAATCAAATAATTTAATAAAGACCCAAATTTATTTTTGAATTTCAGTCTAAGTTAGTAAACGAACATCAGATCATGATTAACTGCGCATAACTCAGATCATTGTGTTTCTCATTACTCTCTCTACATTCAGAAAAGAAAGGCGCACATTTGAAAGATGTGCTTGAACTTTAAATAAAGACAAATATCAAAAAAATCGATGACTATGATTTAGAATTAGCATTAAAATATGTTTAAATAAAGAATTTTTAGATGTTACACTCAGAATGCACATAGTAATAGGAGCTGATTTTACTTTCGTCAGAGTTGAAACTGCTTATTTGTTTTCTCGTACAATTATACTTTCAATTTCGTTCATTTGTTGTCAGGAGAAATTAACGAAACTTTTGGCTTTCTTATACAAATCGTTAATTGTGATGTAAACGTAGTAATACTACTATATTGATATTAGAGGATACTGCCGCAGAATACACCGAAGCATTAGTTATTTCTACTTTCCTTCATTAAACATTGTAACTTAAATTTTCAAAATCTATTCGTTTGAATTATTTCAGTGCCAAAATATAGTCAACTACAAATAGATTCACTGACTTTCACTTCACGTAATCGACTCTGGTACTATGTATTGATTCTGAGTGGGAAGTTCTCCAGTCTTTCCCCAGTTGATGCAAATAAGTGATTATCGACTACGATAAGCACTGCAGCGGGAATGGGAATATCGGTGGATGGAAAAATTGGCAACCAATCGATAATCAGTGGTTCTTCCCAAAATTATGCTTATTGTTCCGTTATTTTTTCGAAACAACTGAGGTTTAATTTAGTATCCTTGGACAATACACAAGATCCAACCGGTCTTTCACAATGCCATTTGTTACTTTACTTCCTTGTGCTCAAATTTTTTCTATATCTAAGTCTTGGGATCTCGAAGACTCCAATAATAAATTCATTTGACATTGAATTAGAGGCATTCTGGTGAAATGAATAGGCAAACAATGCAACAGTTTTGTTCACGGTCCACACTAAACTCTATATAAATTGTATGTTGTCTGATTACCATTTCATTCCTCATTTAACGATGAAAATATTTTTTTTCGCGCACACATCAAAATACGTTTCAATTTCTGTTGCAGTATTATGAAATTTCGGTAATAAGAATGCTGGAAGATACTTGTTACCACAGCAATACGGATCTATCAGTAAAGCTGTACAATCGAGTTCAGTTAAGAAGTATCAACATTTAGTATGCCGTTACGGTACGCCCAACTCTATTATGCAACCAAGCAGCTCATCAACTAATTTTCTTATCGCCCACTACATGCTATTTTTCATCACTCAACAAAGTTTGTCCCTTACATTATTTCTGGATATGGTCCTAGCAGGGAAAAAAGAAAATTTCAGGACAACAGAAAAAGGATTTCATGAATTTTGGAAGACGATTCATGTCATTCATCGCTGACAATAAATAATAATAACATATACTAGTCGCAATCATCCCTCATAGATTTTTGGTTTTCAAAAATCTACCTACATTTAAAATTCACATGTAACTTTTCTGTTTATCATAACGTTCAGAGTTTGAACATTTTAATTATATAATTAAATCTTACAAATTTCAAATGATTTTGGGAAGCTTCCAGATCTTTTGGTATTGATTTTTAATGAATCTCATTAATTTTGTTCATGAAAAATTTTACAGATGCACTGATAACATAATGAATAGCACATATAGATAATCTCACGCGCAAAAGGGATAGTTTCAATAATTCTGATGTTTGTTTCGAAGTGGTGCAATCCAGCCTACCGTTATAAAGAATAGTAGGCACTACTGAAATCAAACCAGGATTAGTCTTAAACAAGGCTAACCAAACTATTAGCAATCAAGTAGAATATTGAAGAAATTGAGTTCATATAAGTATTTTCGGATTAAGGCTGCTTACAGACTTTCTTAACTGCCTCATTCTTCAAGTTTTCTCGCTCTTCATATTCTTTGAACAGTGCACTTTTCCGGGCTATAGAAGTACATGTCTGATGGAACAAAAGACCTAAGTTCGTCAACGATGACTGAAATTCATGACTGAGTTCTCGATTAGCCAAACAAATTCCTGACCCCAGACCTAAATGACTATGCAGGTGATATATTCGACTAGAATGTCACCTATCGACAACCTCCGCTTTAGTAAACCAGCTTTACGCCTTCAGTTTAAATAAGACTTGCCAATGGCCTTCGTCAGATGATAATGACCGAAATTGTGCGTTTTGGTTGGGTAGCGATGAAAATTTTAATTCTGCAGGCTGTGTTCGTTGAAGAGGTTTCGTTATCTCATACTTTACTATCAAATTCATTGGTACCGAGTTTAACAACATCTCTATTAATGTTTCGAAATAAATGCAGTTGTCTAAAGAAATCATACTTTATGATGAAACAATTTAAAAACGAAGTATGCAAATTAAATCAAAACAGCAGTCTAATTGTCCAATTACTGATTTGAGGACTGATGGTGCAATGTTCGGATGAGGAAGAACGCTTGATGGTGGATGTGTTTCGAGGGTATAATTCTCTTATCCAACCAGTTCGTAATTTGAACGAAACTCCGATCATTGTCAAAATGGCTTTACAACTTGCCCTCCTCATCAATGTTGTTCGTTTCTCTAATGTCGAATTTTCTCAAGCGATGTTTCAATTTTCCTCCCAGTTTTTTTTTGTTTTAAAAGCAAAAATGGAACTATTTATAAACGGTATATTTGAAGGTTTCTCGTAAAAACCGGGACCACTTATTTTTTTGTCTGCTGTTGTACTATCAATTAAAGTCGATATTATATTCTATTGTTTTGCATTTTCAAATTCTATATCATCCCTTATTTAGGATGAAAAAGATCAGGTTATGCATACAAATGTGTGGCTCACTTTGGTTAGTTACTTATCTTCATAATGCATTATTTTCCATATTAGGTTGCTAACTGATCAGAATTTTTTATTTAAAATGGTAATAGTTTCCCCTAGTTTTCTAGAAGAAACTTATATTTGATTGGATAAGTAATTGTGCTAGAACCTAAAAACGATAAGTTCATATATCACTCAAATTCATACCATCACTCAATTCATAATATCACACATTTGCAAGGAAATGATTTTGTACATGTGAATAAAACTTCATCCGACCAGGAGTTTTAGAAATGGCACGATTTTCAAATGCGTTGGAACCCGGTAGATTATGGTGAAATTCAAAATATTCGAGTTGCACCGGACAAAGTTTGGATGCCAGATATCGTTTTATTCAATAAGTAAGCTGTTTGTGGTAATCATTTAATAAATCTCAAAATCTGTTTTCTGTGAGAAGTTTTAGATCCACAGAGATACTCTCAGAGCTAAAGTACTTCCTAAACTAAGTGGCCAAAGTGAAGTTGGCTAATTATCTCTTGCTTCAAATCTTTGTACGGAAACATACTGCCCTTATGGCTAGATGGATGAGTAAGATGTAAAAGCTAAACTTTAATCAGTAAGAGTTGAATCGCATATAATGCATTATTATTTTGAAACTTAATTAGTAGAATTAAGATATGAGATTAACATTGCAGTGCTGATGGAAACTATGAAGTATCATTTATGTGTAATGTTGTAATCAATTATAAAGGCGAAATGCTGTGGGTACCACCGGCGATCTACAAAAGTTCCTGCATCATTGATGTTGAATTCTTTCCTTTCGATGAACAAACATGTCATTTGATTTTTGGCTCGTGGACAGTAGGCTTTTATAGCATGCATCTTTAACCTTTGATTTTGATTTTTAACTTGATCGAAATTCAAATTTTGTTGAACTAAATTGTGCTGAAGCTTTAAGATTTTCTCTTAGATTGTTTTTAATCATTTCTTAAAAAATTTTTCAACTGGTGGATGAGAAACATTTGGTCTACGTAGCAGACTTATTTATAAGTTAAAAAAAAAATCAAACCAACTGCTTACCAACTGCTCTGGCTTCCCATTGCTTGCTGTAGGCCCAAAAAATGCTTATCTTTAAGCTGTGAAGCTTTTTATAGAATGACAATCAAAAAAAGTTAGTCAGAACACTTTAAAAAATTATTTGATAAAATGTTAGAACCGTCTAATTTTTCTGGCTGGAAACTTTCGATTTATATGTAAATAATCTGCATTTGCAGTACAATGAAAATGAGATAAAATTTGAATTCGAGCAGGCAGAATGGGTCGACTTGTCAGAGTATGCGCCGAGTTCAATTTGGGATGTTATGGATGCACCTGCCGCTTTAGTTAATAAGCGTTCACGCATCGAATTTCAAATTAGAATAAGGTAAAGTATAATCTAGAATTAAATATAATAAGGTAGACTAAATCATGGTGATTTAGCTTGCATTTCCTTTGTTTTGTTATTTATTATCTGTATTCTTCTTATTTATTTCACTATTCATTATTATTTTATCATTTATGATACACTTCTACTAGACTTAAAAAAAACTGTTTGACATAACTTAGTCGCAGCTGGTGAATACATTCATGTAATCAAATCCCCTATTATCGAAAAACACAAAAAATTTAACTGATATGAATTTGTTTTGTGTTATTTGATATTTCCAACAAAATAATGGAGCTATAGTTACTTATCAATTCTTTCTTAAATGTCCATTTTAATTCCAGATTTCTGGAAAGCGATCAAATCTTCACCTTATTTTACTTTATTTCAATATATTCTTGAAATTTTTGAAATTTGTTTGAAACCTAGTATTTGACTTGACCAGATTCGTTTGGAGAACACTTATATGGCTTTAGAGCTGATGGTCAAAAATATCTGACCATTTAATGTCCCATATTCACTCTTATTAAAACTGCTTCAATAATTTTGAGATTCGACAAGTGGTACAAATTTTGGCAGTTTTTCATAATATTAAAAATTCTTAGATTTTCGATAAGTTTTTTTTTCAGAAGGAAGACCCTATTTTATACTGTGGTGCTGATCATTCCAACTGTATTAATGGCATTTTTAAGTATGGCCGTATTTTTCCTACCCGCTGACTCAGGTTTTTCCATTTATCGATTCTAAATAAAAATACATGGGATAGAAATTTGTTTGATGCATATTTCTTCATAATGCTTATAGCTTATTGCATCAGTAAAATCAGCATAGAGAACAATTTCAGGTGAGAAAATGACACTCACTATATCAGTATTACTTTCAATAGTTGTTTTCCTATTGCTTGTTTCCAAAATTTTACCACCGACCTCCACAATTCCATTAATGGCCAAATATTTATTGCTCACCTTCGTGCTCAACGTTATAACTATACTCGTTACTGTTATTATAATTAACGTTTATTTTCGTGGTCCAACTACTCATCGGATGCCCAAATGGGTACGAACTGTTTTCTTGCAGGTGAACACTATATAGCATTGTTTGTCTTGATTGTTTTAATTTTTTGAATTGATTCCGACTTTTTATACTATTTGCATAGCTATTTCGATCTTTATTTTGCAGTTTATTGCTTATTGTATTTTTGCCGAAGGAAAGTACCCGAAATCCTTACTGGAAATATAGGAACTATTTTTTGGATTTCCGCCATTGTCTTTTTACTTTTTTGTTTTGAACTATAACTGTAGTGATTGGGGAACTGTTTTTGTTACTTTCTTTATTAGAACTAGGATTTGTTGGTGCATTAATTAAACTTTTAAATGGTCTGAATTGGACTAAATTAAGCACAGTGCTATAATTGCTGAGGGAAAATGGAATTGATTTGTTGGTATGGACACGAAGTTAGCTAATTAATGAATAACTGTAATTTATTGCTTGCTTTAGATAATGCCTAAATTATTGTGTATGCAAAGGCCAAAATCGTTATTGCGTAACTTTACCCAGAAAAATGGACATTCAGTTACTGCCACCTTCCCTAGTATCAATGAATTGAAACTCAATCCATCCGTACATCATCCATTATGCCCATCGGCTGATACTGATATTAGGTATCATTAATGACTTTTTGATATCAATAAGATGATTTCATGTCTAAAATTTAACCCTGAAATTCAACAGTTCGTTATTATTTTGTCCACCTCATTTTGACGTCTGGCAAACGTTTTGCGACTTAGAATGTTTTTTGTCTCATTCAGACAACCGCCAGCAATAGAACTAACTTATGTGGATAGTATGGAGCAATTGGAAAGGGATCCATCGACAAGTGTTTATTATCCACTCAGTCCAGATGCTTTACGTGCCATTGACGCTATCGAATATATAACTAATCATTTGAAGCAGGATGAGGAATATAAAATGGTCACATTTATTAATTTTTCATTGAAAGCTACATTCTAGTGAATGTTCATTTTACCATCGAAATTTCGTGTAATTAAGGAAAGAGTAGCGTAGCCATCCATCATGGGTGACCCGTCATAGTATTGTAAGATATGATATGCACTAAATGACCAAACATTTCTGTTGCTAAAGAAATCTTGTGCTGGCCAATAACATAGTCTTTTACAGCCATAAATGCTGTCTAGGAGGATGAAAGTTAGCGGAAAACATGTTCTGTTTTTCATTATTATGGTAAAATATGTTTATAGTATCGCGATGATTGGAAATATGTGGCAATGATCATCGACAGACTGCTGTTATACGTATTCTTCGGTATTACGGTTGGTGGTACCTGCGGCATATTGTTCTCCGCGCCTTACGTTTTTCAAGGCGTTGATCAACGAGCTGAATTACAACGTCTTATTCATTTGTACAAAAATGCTGGCGAAATTTGAAATGGTTTAGCTTAGTTATAAGGCCATGGTATTAATTGCTAAACTTGACAGAATGTTATTGCTGTAGAAAAAGACTTCCAGAAGTCGGTAGAAATAATTCGAAATCAGTACGTTCTCGGGCCATTAGTTTTTCATTCATGTATTTATTAATTATTCCAAATGTTTAGTATGAATTAAGAAATTTTCATCAAACAGTGCTGAAGTTGATTTTGGTACTTTTTCAGTATTGTTTTTTCCGTGAATTATACAATGGGGATTTCATTTTACACATTGATTGGATTCGAGTTTGGCTAATTCGCATGGCAATAACTTTTTCTCCTAAGAACAGTTTTAGTCTATAAGGATAGTTCTAAAGAAGTTCTGCAGCACAAAATACTCTGATTTCCTGGCTCTAAGTATTTTCTTACTTTTGCAGTAAGAAAAGTAGCAAAATATGAAAGCAAGAAAACGGAAAGATGGAATTTCGACTCGATTGTTATTTTGTCTATTTTATTAGGAATTTTAATGGTAGGGATATTTGTCATAAAAGCTATAAGTGGTTAATTGGTAGAGGAAGTTTGAAGACGTTGAAATTTAATTTTAGTAATTTGAACTGAACTACGAAGAAATAAATAATGAAAATTGCTGTAGAGATCGCTCTACCATTTCATATTTAGCTGTTGATTATTAATAATATATGTAATAAAAAAAACATCTTGTTGGAGTTAATCACTGAAGATTCATGTAGATTTTGAAATCCCTAAGTAAGACTGGTGTTCCATGACAATCAGGACTTTCTGGTTAAAACATTAGTGCCACTGTGACCAGTGAATGCCAAAGACTGTAGCTGAAATGTTGAAATCACATTGTATGACTCGTCTAAACTAATTTGCAGCTTAAAAAAAAGTTTTTTATCCGCAAAACAAATTTTAAGCTTAACCATCCAGAAATATGTTTGGAAACATGATTATATCAGTAGACAAAGGTCGTTAAGCATCTCCCTAATAGCAGAACGATGAATAAAAATACACAAAGATATGATCAGCTTCGATGTTGTAACAAACACAGCAATCTGTCCAGATTACATGACACTGATCACACAAAACGATTGTGCTCTTTCAAAATGAAATCTCTTTTACATAGTCATTTCCATCAGAATTCGGAAGATGTCAGTTTCTTAACTTGGAGAAGACTTATTAAATTACAGCAGCTTAGCCAAAATTTATTCTGATGATGGGGGCGGAAACATTTTAAAAAAAAGGAAATGAAAACTCGGGATAAAGTCCATAAATTGATAAGCTTATTTAAAAATACAATTCTACCGGGAATGATGACTTCATCGTCGGCGACTTCGTGAGGCAAATTTTTTTAAAAAAAAAGCCGTTCATCAAAAGTGGAGCACCTTGAAACCATGAAGATTCATTTGAACGTGTCATCAGCCTCAGCTGGATTTAGCTGATTTCGATGGAAGTTGTGATTCGAGCAAGTTCTTTTTCAGCATAATGCAGTTAATTTATTACACTCAGAATTAGCAGTAATAACTGGTAAATGACAAACAGTGCTCTCATTGCGAAAATCAAGATATCACTTTATCATTTCGATTCGTTTTTTTTTGAAAGGACTTCCTTTTATTTCCATTTCGACAGAGTACAAGGAAATCCATAACGGCTGGTCCGACTACTGCTGGATCCTTGCCACCAAAGCCATCCGTTGTTTTTTCCAACTTCATATGCAAATTTTCGAATAATTCAGTGCCTTCGCTGTCTTCAGTACACATGGTACTCATCACCGAAGTGCAGGAGTTTGAACCCACCAGCACCGCCTTTGACTTCTTTGTACGATATCCATTTGTATTCGAAACCAAGCTGTAATTGAGCAAGCTGCATATGTTCCAAGTAAGCATATTGCATATGTTCTCGCCCATGGATTGGCTTGCCAAATTTGTAATACAACATGCATATTCTGTTGACCCTTGATCCTAACAGGATCATCCGGAAACGGCGAACCAACTGTGTTATATGGCCAAGTATCTTCAAATTCCTGTCATCTCCAGTAGCAAAACGATCAAGCGCAGTTTAAACCGCAGTACAAATATTCTGATGCAAACAATGAATATCAATGCATCATAGTTGTTGCTTCTATAGATAAATGAACTTCTTTTTCTGCAACTAAGCATTTAGTTTCTTTTTTTTTCTTTTTTCTACGAATAGGAAATATTGTAGAGGGAAGGAGAGAGGGAAGAATCCACAACGAATGGAATGACAGGAACATGGTATATCGAGCATGGCGCATGGATTACGGTGTCATTGTTACAACATTAAAAGTGTTGCAGAGATACCGCATGATACTCAGAAACCAGCACATGTAAGTAGCGCCATCCTACGAGATGTATCTTTTGCCAAGTGACTTTGTTTTAATCTCTCTGCTCATGGAAGCCTCAATGTAGCTGTGACTCATGAGTTGTAATACTTGAATCTTCCCTCCCCATTCATTCATATCAGCTATATACGGCAGCAGACAAAGACGCCATTGTGACAGTGTAGAGCTTTGTCTATTAATGTGCCGTCTGACCTAAATACCCTTTGTTGATATTATATGTATGTATGTATCCCTCATAGACATTGTAAACCTCATTCACTTGTCTGGTGTATATGGAAAGGACTCGTATCTCATTCCAAGATTATCTTTTCTTTCAACTCATCATTTCGGTAATTGCAGCATATTAGTTTACCTTCGCCAATTCATTTCACATTGGTTATCGTTCGAACTATTTCGTTGGCTAATAAACCGTTCTATACTGTACTGAATTCGCTTCCCGTTGTTGCAACTCAGAACTTTACAGCAGTACTTTTTCAACAGAAGCAAGTCCTTCGTGTTCCAGTATTATTTTTAATTCAATTTCCATTTATGACACTTCACGACAAAACTTTCGCGACATTTGGGATGAATAAGAATGACATGAGTAGGGCTTTATAGCTTGGAAAAGAAAGAAAAAAAGGAGAGGGAAAGGAAGAAAGAAAAGTAGAGGAAGCCGAATGGGAAGGAAAAATTCGGACTTGCGGTTGTTGCGGTCGCAGTAACATCGTGCAGACTTCACCCGTCTCTGGCATAGGCTGATGGGGAAAATTGGGAAGTGGCGGGGAAGAGAGGGGGAAGTTTAAGATTTGGTTTTGAGCATTATACTGATTGGGAAGAGTACGATCGATAGACTAAGACAAATATTAGAAAAGGTGTTAGGGCGGTCGTCGGTATCCTCTTCCAGTATCCTCGGAAGAAAATCGAACTCTTTCAACAACTACTTGTAGTTTAAGTTTAACACTGTTCTCTTTTATTGTTCTTTGGTTTTTTTGAAAGGAAACACTGCTATGAAAGGAAGAGGAAGGGGAAGAGGAAAGGAAAGCTCACTTGAAAGCGAAACCGCCACTAACCCTACAGGTTTGCTTTTATTTCATATCCGTTTTAAGATTAAAATTTTACCTAGTCCAATGGTAAATACCGGGTGATGTATGCACATTTTGAGATCTATCCGTTCTTTAATTAGTATTAATTTCTAGCAGGCAGCATCCTGAATATCCACCATAAAAATAAGCGCTTTTGGATAACTCCACTACACTTCGATATCTTAGTGTTGTAAAAAATCTTTACATATTCTGGAACATCCACGTTATATGTTTACCGTCACTTAGTTATTTGTGTCAGTCAGTACATTTGCAATATTTGCTGGTAGATTGAACGGTCTGTTTTCCAGTGGGAAGAGGACATGGACGCGGTAAACAACCGAAGTTAGAGATTTCTAGTGCTGAATTTGCTAGGGTTGGACAGAAACATGGTGAAAAGGTATTTCCTAATTTTGTTTTGCAATGAAATTTAAGGGAATATGAAATCGAAGTCTTTTCGATTTTAAAGATAGATGAAGAAAAGGGAGGAGTGGACGCTGATCTGGAATCTTGTTTTCGTTTTAATTTATTTCGATGTAATGATCTAAAGATGGTGAAATTTTAGTACGAAAAAATCAGTGAGTTGATATGTAGACCAAATCATGGAGAAATGGGTGAGCATATTGAGTTAATGGCCAATTTCAAGTTGTTGGAAGTACCTCCTTCTCTACAAATTTATTGCTACCATGTGGATGTTGTGAAAATAACTAGGAACGGTAAACTTGTGGTGGAAAACAGGTATTTAAGTTAATTTCGTTTTAAAACTTGATTTTTGCTTGTTGAAATTGTTTGTAATATTTTCTTTTTTGACTTACATTGAATATTATACTCCATCGAGAGGTCTGCTTTAGCAATGCTTCGCATTCGCCTTTGGTATAACGCATCAACCAAATTTGCTTTGTTCAAAGTTTAAAGACTATTACTGTGAAAAGGGTTCTAATATTTCTTTGCTGTCTTCACTGGATTAGCTTTTGTAAATTGTTTGAAAATGACGCATAGGTAGAGCATAGTGTTGTAACTTGAGTCATTGCTGAAAAATGTCTTTTTCACATCCCATGTTTTCTTACAAAATAGAAAACTTGGGATTTTACAAAATACGAAGCTTTTTTTTAGGGATATCTGTCGCGAAATATTTTGGGAAGTAATTTCGAATAACGAAGCAATATTTGGCACAGGATACTCTTTGATATATGATGATTGCCACACACTGTACTCTCTAAACAAGCTGAAGACTGAGAAACCAACGTTGGAACTACAGTTATTCGTAGAACCAAAACCTGGTTTGAAAGTGTGCACTTCATATTTGTTGATTTTGGAAGTCTGAAAACTGCTGAATTTTTGTAATCTCAAACTGTGAACATATAAATATTAGACCGTGACCTTGGTATTCTGTTTTCATGTCTTTCTTGCAATGCTTGCTATAATTGTAAGCAGTTTTTATGGTAATCTTTGTAAGTACTATAATGTCTATTTTTTCGTTTTGTGATCAGCTGGTTTAAAAACTCATTGCTTTTCAGCCGCTCCATGTATCTTTCTTGGTTCTTATATCAGTCACTAATTATTTTACTGTCACTGTCAGTGAACAATTACCGAATTTCCAGCCAAGTATGCGATTTTTAGATTGTTTGGTCAGTCAGCGAGTGCGCTGTCCTTTCATGTAAGTTCAGTTGTATTTATTATATTTAGTTAAACATAAGGGGTAAATTTTCTGAAGTATGACACTTTCAAAACTTTGATTATTAAATTTTTTCTTCAGGTGATGCATTTTTATACCCGACTTATTTTGCAATTTTTTTTTTACAATAGTAAATTCTTTCATTGCTTATGATTTGTTTCATGCGAATTTAGGAGTATGGCTGCGAGTTTTTATCCGTTTGAACAGTGCGTGTATATGAAGCCATGTAAAAGCATTCCGTATAAAGTTCTAAATATGGGTCCCGGGATGGAGGCATGGACTGGATTATATAGTGCAGTAAAACGCTGCGAAAAAGGACTCATGCTAAATGCAGATGGTCAGTAAGTTATCTGCTGTGTTTTAGGCAAATCCGTGAGTACTAGCACTGTATTGAATAGTTGAGCTACTTATAGGATATGTTTTAGTTGAATTTGTTTCGGGATCGTTTCTACACCATTTCTAGTAAATTCACAATTAGACATTATTATGTACCGGTCATTTCAGTATCCACAAAGGTATTTTATAAATTGGACATTGGGTTAATTGATTTCTATTTGGATGTCTTAAATGAATTTGTGGGCCGAAGAAGACCATACGATATCGATATAGTAGTAAGTGAAACGTTTGCATTATCTGTGAATCAAAGACAACAGTTGAAGGATGCAATGAAAGGTGAATTTTAACTTTATTTGAATATGTTTACTCTGTAAATAATTTTCTTAAAGAAAATTCAGCAAGAATCATGTGTGTCAATATGTTTGTACTTGTCTACAGAGGACCTATATTTGCAATCATTGCTACAAAGCTTTGTCAGTTGCGGTCAGCGGAATGCTCAAAATCACCATCACCAATCAAATTGTGGCTCATTTTTATCTGTAACACTTGTAGAAATTTTTTTTTTTTTTTTTGAAATTAACTGAGGAGTTATCTTGGTGCTGCGATTAGGTTCATGAAGGGTGGATGTCAGGATTACGCCATTTCAATTTCCGTTAAACATTTTGATTTCCAACTGTTTCGTTTAAACTGTGATGACATTAGAAATTGCCAGAGCAAAAAGTTTCCAGGCTTAACGCTGAAGGTGACGTATGATAACAGACATGTCAAGTTTATTGATGTTGGATTACCTTCACGAATACAAAGGTTGATTCATCTTAATTTGGTTATGCGGCCTGTCATATTTCCGTAGTTTTTTATTTTTTTCTACTGTTAGATTGAGTTTTAGATTTCAAATGAGGCGAAGCGACGATTCTATGGAGGAATTGACTGTCGAAGAATATTTTAATCGTTATAAAAGTAATTTGCTATTCTTTAAAACTTTGTATCTGGGCAGGATAAGTTTTGACCTGTGTTTTTGAATTATTGTGCATTTACGTAATTGAGCACATTTCCCGTCTTACCAATTGTTTTTCTCTTTATTCACTTTTTATCAATTGTCTCAAATTCCGTTTAGATATACGCTTGAAATTTCCGAATCTTCCGGTATTACACTGTGGCACACTAACAAGGCAGGATTACTTTCCGATGGAGCTTTTGCGGTTATCTGACAAAGTGCAGCGTGTGAAAAAACGTCTCACACCGTTTCAGATCGCAAAACTGATCAGAGTAAGTGTACGAAAATGAGCTGCATGACCATGGATGTCTTTTTTTCTCAAGCATGATCCATCGAATCAAGTGTTAGAAACATTTGATGTTTGAAAGGAATGAATTAGTTTGGGAAGTATAATTAGGTCTCTTGATACGTAATCTGACTAAAGTACTGGGGATACTGGCTTAATTTAGCAATTAATAATAACAGAATCGCATCAAGAGATAATTAACAAGTAATACTTTTATTGGAGTAGAGGAAGTGAATATGTTGTGACGGAGATAGATTTTTCAATCTAACACATATTTCTTCACTGTAAGAGGAAGTCTTTTCTTTATCGTAATAGGATTACAGCATCGTAAAAAGTCAACTCAGGAGATTTTATAGCTGCCGTATCTATTTAGCAATTTTTCGTGGATAAAATTCCCTGTGCAGTTCATTAGAAATAATAATTGTACATTGTATATTCCTATATTCATTCTTTGTTTGAGGGTACGGCATTAAGTCCTTTGGAGAGATTCAAAAAAATTGATTGGTTTCTAAAAGGAATGAGGATATCCACCGATGATGAGTTCATTCAGCAGTTTGGAATCATTTTCCCATCAGTCCGTGGTGGAGTTCCGGAATCAGTGCGAATCCTTGGTCGCATTTTGCCGTCACCCGCAATCAAATTTAAGGTGTATTGAGTTGAGCTTATGTTTTATCCTTAGTTATTCTTGATGATGGAGATACTTATAGTTGTTTACGGTCCTTTTATTGCTTCTTTTTTTATGGATAATCGCTTGCGAGAGGACTCTTTCTCTTTTCGAATGATCTAAATTTGAATGGGCTGAAGAGGCCATTAGAAAATTGAATGGAATATTTTCGCAAAAGAAATTTTATATCAAGATTAATCAGAGTAAAGTGATCGTTCACTTGTAAAAAGCTTCTTTATTCCTAAAAGATATCTAACAGGAAATTGCAGACAATTGAATTACCAACGACGAATGGTTCTTGGCGTTTAAAAGATGGTTTCTTTCAAACCGCCAATGTTGTTCACTTTGCTGTTGTAATCGTTGATAAAGCAATTAATACGCAAAATTTTCGGTATTTATTTCATTTTCGATCAGAACTGGATCATATTCAATAAATAAATAGTTGTGGCAAGTGATACTCATGACTATATAAAATTACAGGGAACCATTCAACACTTTAATTGGTGCTTGCAAACTCTTCGGTATGAAGTTTGTGGGCGAAAACTTTGGTGCAGATACTGTTGAGATATATAGGTGGGATACGCGTAGAGAAGAAGCTGACATTTACGTACGCAGTTTCAAAAAAATGTGTAGTGAAATAAAAAAAGAAGCGCTGAAGCCGTTGATGATCTTTATCACTCCGGAAAAGAATGATGACACATATGGTATGTTGGAAACTTTGTTAAAATTGCATGGCATTAGCGAATGCTGATGTTAGCGCAACAATTAGGTTCTTTGCAGGACGAATAAAAGTGACATGTGATAAGGAGGAGGGTGTAGCTTGCCAAGTGATTCTTGCCGAGACATTTCTCAAAATGCGCGGAAATCCTGAGCATAATGCTGTGTCTCACAATATTTGTTTGAAAATAAACGTGAAATTGGATGGCGTTAACAACGAAGTGGCGAGAAATCAAGACTAGTAATTAATTACGAATTCTCTACTTTCTATATTTATCTGTGAAGGTTTAAATATAAGGAGTGCACGCTGCTCCATCTCAACCCAACTGCTGGTGCAGTTTGTAAGAATGTTAAAAAAATTTGATGGCAACTCAAAGAAATTGTATTAACTCGATAGTATGATAGATGGAGAAATGTAGTTCATGTCATTTCATTTTTCATATATAAGTATTTCCAAGAATCATTCAAGGTTTTTTCAGCTGGAAAAAATTTACTGATAAAGAAGCTCCAACGCTCTTCATAGGTGTTGACGTCACGCATCCACCTCTAGGTGATTCGTCGACCTCGTCAATTGCTGCCATTGTTGGGTCACTAAATATTAGTGCAACGAGGTTTGGTGTTTATTCAAGTAAATCATGGCTAGGTCATTTTAATGCTTCCAGAAGATTAAAGAAGTTCCGTGTGACAGTTCGTTTATTAACGGATTGTTAAGTAAATATAAAAAAATACTTTGGCTTTTGTAGTTGTTTTGTTTTACTTTTTCTTCAGAATTATTTTTTAGGTATGCAGCTTCTTTAAAAATTCAACAACCAGGAATGGAAGTAGTAACATATACCGTGGATGTATTCCGGACACGTATTATGGAGTTTGGCGCACAAGCAGGTTGTAAACCGCAGCATATAGTGCTATTTCGGTAAGTTGTTCGATTATTTTTAGTTCATTTTAGCGTAAAGCTTCAGAATAGAAAGGCTTAATTACGCGATACTTTCATAGTTAAACACTATTTCTGGTATATATTTTTTCCTTTTAACGTTTAATTCATGACTTACGTATTCATACATGAAGAATTATATACTACCATCCTTTTTTTTGCATCGCTTAGAAATATCCATACTCATATTTACGTTAACATCAATTTCTTCGTACTTTAGTGATGGTGTTTCGGACTCTCAGTTCTTAGATGTCATGAATGATGAGTTATTATGCTTGAAAACAGCTATACATCAACTAGATCGACTCTACAATCCAACAGTTTCCTATGTTGTGGTACAAAAAAGACATCATACTCGTTTCATTGAACAAGATATGGAAAGGTGGGAAGTATTTTCTGATTTAGTGAAGAGTGCAGAAAGAATTTGTGATGAATAATCCCAAGGTAAATCTAGATTCTAAACTCTACTTGTAGGGATTGACAGTATGGGATTTGAATCAATCATGATTGTTTTATTTGCTCACAGTTTTTGCTTAAAGCTAAAAGATCACTGTTTTCCTTTTCGCAAAAGTAATGGTTCCCATTACGAATGTTTCCTATTGCTGTGGGAAACATTCTTTTTCCTCTACTTTTTGTAAACAAACATAAACTTGGTGTTTTTCGAATCTAGCAATTTTCGCAGGAAGTGGTTTGCTTATCGAATTCTACACATTGCTTTCTTTTCACCTTTCAGAGTCAAAGGTAATGTACCACCAGGGACAGTCGTTGATAGCACGATAACGAATCCATTGCGATTTGACTTCTATCTCTGCTCACATCATGGTGCTATTGTATGTTTCCGACCTCTTCATTTATTATTTACATTTCTTCATAGTGTAGTTAACGTATCAAAAGGTTCAAGGTGCTATTCGAGTGACTCGACTGTGAAATTTACTTAATATTTTAATGAAGATAATACCCAGACTTTCCGTTTTCTAGAATTTATTGTTGGCAGTTGCTCAATTGAGCACCATTACTTCTGGTAATGTATGTAAGTCCAATAGTTTGTTGTCCCACACTATTTACTTATTAACTTGTATAGCATAAAAAATGATACCGATGAATAGGCTGTGAGAATCTTATTGAAATTCAAGAATGAACTAATCATAGGGCATTCCAGGGAACGTCTAGGCCATCTCATTACACTGTTCTCTATGATTCATGGCATTTATCTGCAGATGAGTGGCAAGTTAGTTCTTAATACCTTGCTGATTACATTTGGATGCTAACTGCATTTTTATTACTTGCATATTTCATCTCCACAAAAAAAGAAAAAAAAAAAAATTTAGCTGCAATACCAGCATCTTTTTCTTGTGCTCAGAAAAAAAAGAGTTCCATGATGATTCATACTCATGTGTTAATGTGATCGGAATGTTTTTTTCTGCACTCTTCAGCAAATGATTTATGCTTTGTGCCACGTGTACGCCCGATGCAATAAGTCGGTTTCAATACCAGCACCTGTTTATTATGCCCATTTAGCTTGCGATCGAGCAAGACGTCTTTTGAAATATGCGTAAGTTTCCCCATTCAGAAAAAATTGGTTTTTTAAATTACTTAATAAAGAAAAATGAAAATTCGGTAAGACTACTGTCTTTTTTATGTGTTGCCTTTTTACAAGGACAAAAGATAGGCAAAAAGAGCAGATTCAAATGTTGAATATTGCGGCGTGCAAATCAAAGTGAAAAAATATAACGTTAGTTTTATAACACGTTATATTTTTTGACTTTTTTTTTCTTTTTTCCTAACGTTGCTGTCTTACAGTGTTAACTGATAAGATTCCATATAGGTGTGCAGTAATCAAATGCTGCAATTCAAGAAATTTGACGTCCCAAATCAAAAGTTTTTGCATTTGGGATGTATTGACGTCGGTAGCAGCTTTTTATATCGGTTTATAATAAAAGTCTCTGCATCCTCCACATCTGTTAATCTATTAGATTTACTGTGAGTTGAAAATACTACAATTTTAATCAGTGCGACATTTCAGACGAATGGGTGAAGCATTAAGAAATGAGACCAATGCCCGTACGCTTGAACAAAGTTTTACGCTTAATCCAGATACTCCGAATATGTATTTCATATAACATTGTATTCATCTAGTCTGTATTATGTGATCAGCAACAAGAATTGAAGTGATGAGCAGTTATTTCTCGATATGTTGTTCCAAGGACCGGAAAAGCTTTATTTTGGATCCAGTATGACGTATAGTATAAGTAAGGGTTCAAAAAATTATCCTGTTGTGGGAAGTTAACTGCTAACATATGAAGATGTAGAGCCCTTGCAGATTATCTATAAAAATATCTTTTGACGAATAATTTCATTAGCAATAGTTTGTTATAGATTGGAATAAGATATGTGATAAAAAGATTAGACAAAATGAGATGTGTTTCGACTCTCTTGTAAATTCCTGAAGTTAAAAAAACAACGGTCATTTCTGCTTCCACTTCTTTGCTGGTCAGGTAAGTATGATGTCATTTTGTATTTATTTTATTATCAGGTATATGGCAGTGTATCCTAAATTCGAAAGAAAGACGGGTACCGAAGTACCGATGTAAGTTCAATAGATTGCACATTCAAATTATTCAAATTATATGTATACAGATTTTATATATATGTACATTCAAATTATATATGTATATCATTGTATTTGTAAATGTGGACTTTGTCAAGTTCAGAATCTGAGATTGTTGTACGTGAAAGTTGTTTTATCACTTCCTGTATTGTTTATGTAGTAAGACCTCTGGTCTCATCATGGATATGGGACTTGAACTGTAAGATTTAAAGTAAATTTTCATAGAGATTTGGTTCTTGTCATTTAAATAATATTGGGGGGGCTTTGCTATTTGCGGACAGTCATTGATCACGGGCATCTCGATGGATTTATTAAATGAGCTGATAGGAAGTTGATTTTGATTCGTGAGCACTTGGTGAGTAGTTCCACTTATCGTTCGTTTCCCGTTATGCTCAATGTTTGCATCATGTGGGACTTGGAAATATTACTGTTTAGATAAATGAAATATTTTTATCGTACTGATCGTTTTTTGCATTGATAGAAACGCTTAGAAAAGAAGAGATGTCTTGTTTCTTTCCGTTGCAGCTTACATATTCTTTAAAGTGTAACATCTTCACTAACGCCTGTAAAAAATGTGAAATTCCCATTCCTTACTGGAAGTGTCAAGTTCTTTAGATTTCTTCTATTCAGTGCCATGTCAGCGTCTTTATTCCGGATGAATTTCCAATCTACCTTATTTGTGCATTGTAGCTGGTGCAGACAGTGAAGTGGTCAGTGAAGTACCTACCCCTTCCGAGCAACTCTCTAGTGAGCATTTATTGGGAAATCTTGAAATTCATGCTACGTGTGATCTTTGCTTTTAGAAGCTTAGAAGATATTCTGTCGGCAAAAAAATGACTTCATTTGACCTGTTGTCAAGCTTCCTTTCCTTATGGAGAATACCTTTTGAAAAAGTATCGTAAATTACATGTGATTGTTTTTGTTTGTAACAGAGTAACAAGGGTCGCAAGTTTGCAGGTCGTCCAAAGTTTGAATGTAAATTCGGTGATTCAGCTGCATGCCCAATGATGATGAGCATAGTCGGTAACTAGAAGTCAGGAATTTCGTTTTAGTAAGGACCAATGTCTAATAATAAACTGCTATAGGAAATAGAGAAGTGATTTTTGAAACCCAAAACTTTTTATACCTTCTATTCCTAGTCCATTATCAGTAGGTAGAAAGTTTTGTTTGAAAAAGCGTAATTCAGCACTTTGATGTTTTACTGTTTCCTGCGCAAAACTTTATTTTTGATATTGCCTCTCAACGATCTCAGTAAGTAACGACAACGTGTCCATCGTTATATGTTAAAATATAAAACCAGTCACCTTGATCAGTTTGCGTCTTTTTTTGCAAGTTTCTATATAATCCGTTGGAAGCGAGAAGACATTGTTCCTTACAGGTTTTGCAAGAAGCATTTTTATTTGATAGACATAGGGGATATGATGAGGACGTAATGGTCAGTGTTGGAGCTATTCATTTTGGATGTTAAAAGAAAAGAGTGGAAGATAAAATAGAAGTTTTTTCTCATTAAAAGATCATACTTCTTTTTGTCATACTTCCGGGATATTGTTCAACTCTGCTTCGCTGCTCCAGTGATATTCCGGTGGCCCAGGTGAGTAGCATGTGTTGTCCCTGAAAAAGAGTCTTTCAAACTATGGGATCCTTCCTATTTTCAATGGCCATCTCAAGGTGAAGCGACACATTGGATCGGAAATAAGACGTGCGGTCATCATCTGAAGCTCTCCTTATCGAACTTGCGCCATATATGTTTATCCAATAAAATGATCTATTTACGCTCTCCGACAAAGCATTTTACTGTTATGCTTCATAGGTAACTTAGCACAAAGATCTTTCGTTTCCTGAATGAGTCCTTAATGGATCTATATCTCTTCCTGTATAATCTACGAATACTGGTAGTGCCACTGTCAGGGTAAATCTTGAACTATGAATAATTGGTTTGCAATGCAACAAAAATGATAATTGCAAATGGAAATATGAAATCGGGAAAGCTTTTTGCCTGAGAATATGATCTCCCAGAACCCAATACATGAGATAATAATTGCACATTTCATCATCACTTGTATTTCCCATTATGAATTCCTTATCTTCCTTGTTGTTCAGTACGCAACGAGCTGCCACCTGGAAAAAATCCGGTCACTCATATAATGAACTACAACTTAGTCAAATTAATCACAAGAGATTTTAATCCGGTTGAACTCTGAACCTTATGCTATAATTTTATGTCCTTCCCCAAATTACTGCTATTAAATGAGAAAGTCTTGTCCTATCCTTTCTACTCGCAGCCTTTTCCCCTACCTCTCCTTCCTTTTCATTAGAATTCCCAGTTTATTCACCCACCAAAATCGAAATTGGGGAATTTACTTCAGAAATTAAGAGTGGAGCTATTCAAAAAATCCCAAGAAACGAACTACGTCGCCTTGCCGAATTGTAATGTTCTTGTTAACTGGCTGAAACATTTGTGGAAGTAGCGGATTTCGTTCGCCAATTAACTCCCACGTATCCTGACCATAATCGTTTTCGCGTACTACCCATCCACTTACCTGTGGCAATACTTATTTAGTCTTCCATTTCTAATTATTGAAAGAAAAAGTCAAATGCATTGATGGATAAGTTCTATTTATGGAATATTCCGAATTCAAAAATTGAGGAAATCTAATTAAAAAAAAAAAGAAACGAAAACGTAAAAACGCAAAAGCTTTCATCATTGGTGTCATTCATTATACGATTATTACTGAAAAAAGACAGCATTATGCAAATCATACAAAACCAATTAATAAATTAACCATTTCACCATGGCGATGGGTATGTGCGCGGAATGCGAATGGATGTATTTCAATATCCTCATCAACAATACATGCTGTTTCAAATGTTTCTAAATTTGCATGGGCTCATAAATAGGCAAACGATATGAAATGTTCAAAGACTAGATTAAAATCTAAAGTTATGGGAAATATTTCCAGAATTTGACATATCCGAAAGGGGAAAGATAGTGAAATACAAAATTTTAAGACTTATCAATAATTGTACCTCTGTTGTTTGGAGGTAACTTCCCACCGGTAATCATCAGCAGGGTAGACGCCCGTTTGGTTAGTGGTCCAACTGTCGATTCGATACTCACACCAGAATAATCACGTCCGAGTTTCCCCTTATAATGTACTTGTAGTACGAGATACTGAATACCTGTGTTTCCACCAACCTTGAACCCGACACCTGCAAATTATGCATTTTCTGCTTCACTTTAATCATGTAATGTTGGTATTTAAAAAGACCTTACAACAAACGATCGTCACACTAGCTTTTCTCATCGTATTCTACTTGGATGCGCATTAAAAATTTTTCTGATTTTCGGGGAAAAAATTTTTCTGACCTTCCATAAATTCCACAAGGAAATGAGAGCCGATTAAAATTCGGAGTCGTTTTGGCCACCTTCTAAATCCCTCATATCTTATGTATGTATCGGGAAACCCGAGTTAAAACAATCAAAGTGTATACGTACTACAAATTTGCATCATAAATATTGTCTTATAGATCATTTTTCCGATAAGTGACTCATTATACAAAAATCGAAATTATTTTTTCAACTTCTTAAGTGATGAATCATTTATCCAATCCCCGTAACTGTGATAAAGGATTGTTGCTTTGATCACCAAGCTATTTGTAATCTTTGGTCGTTAGTGATCAGCTGGTCTGACAACCCAGCTTACACACATTGATGGGTATATTGTAAAAGTCTCCAATCTGATATTCAGTGATTAACATATCTAAACTTCTTCCAAACTAATCACATTCTTTTATCTGATAATTAATCTTTTATATATTGGTTTTGTAGGCGCACACGCACTATATAAGGAGTTTTCAGATTTTTTTTTTTCTTTGTACAAGACGATTGACGGTCTCCTCATTTCCAGTTCCTCAATTATCACTAATTCAGCATACAAATTCCTCTCTCTTCCCCCTCCCCTACCTCTCCTCCTCTTCCCACCAATATGGTACTAATAAACTGTTACCATCATCAATAAACTTTTATCAAATCTCTTGCTTCCATGTCAGATAACACAAACTTCAACGTCAGTCTCTCCCAAATCAGGTAATATTTTTTCACGACAATATGTCCGAAAAGCGACCAATTTTTAGCCGGATTGTGTAAACCTGTAGCTTCTCACCAGAAAATCATTATTGTACTTTCTATTTCAGAAGTTATCTTGCATTTGCATGCATTCTATCCATACAGATATCTTCTCAGTTCTGTTACATGACATTTTCAATTTTTCATCAACCCTTCGTGGGATCAATTGTAGTTCGTTTATTATTATCGATTACAACGTATTAATCACGTTCTTCGCATCAGACTTTTGTCCGTCATCTAACTCCTTGTCCTTCCTATGATTAGGGAACAGTAGCATATACCCCCATGTTGATGTACAATCAAACCGATCCAGCAGCAGAACGTAACTCAATTTTTTTGTATAAGCAAATAGATGAGTTTAAGTTATGAGTCATGCCTTCCGGAAGATGTAATTCAGATGCGTTTCTACCCCACGCGTATAATATATTCGGTTGATCTTTGCATATTGGTGCTCGTTGAAAATCTGGTCCAGCTGTTGTCATGTCTCCACAATCCCTGAAATATTGTCATATTTCATTATGAACCCAAATCGATTATACCGAGAGGGTAAGATTATGTTGTAACAGCGTAATGTCCTTCAAGGATGTGGACCGCGGTGAATAATTATCAAAAACTATCAAAAAACTTACCAAATGACTTCATCAGTGCCTGGCTGACCGCAACCAAACAGCAACATATGATGAGCTTTTTGCATCGTTGCAAAAGGCTTATATCCAACTGAAAATAATACATACAAAAATTAACTTTACGTGTGGCTGTCTGATGGATTGGATTAATTTCGTCTATCTTTAAAAGGCTATTTAGATGAAAGCGTGTCAAACTGTCTCTTTTTATTAACTCAACTTCTGCTAAGGATTGAAATTCCATTAATTTATATATAAAAAGTGTAGCTGACCGATGTAATGTTCCGTAGTGTAATCGAGTGGAATGGCTGTACACAAGTAAGAGTCATTCTAAAAGCAAATTATTAAGTTGAATGGTTGATAGAATTAAAAGATTCGCAAATCCTTTGCTGATAGATATTTCAATCTTTAGTCTGTTGATTCATTTAGGACTCTTTCCATTACGGTAAAGCCAGAATCTTCCAGAAAAACCTTTGTTTGATTTCCGATCAGAGTATTTGTCAAGCTTTATCTCTACATTTGTTTTTTTTTTTAAATCTGTTTTTTTTTTTAATCTTTCTGAAAACACGATTTCTCTATTCAGTGCTTGTTCGAGGCCTTTTCATTGCGAAGTCTTTCTTTTTTTCACTAGCGATAAAATAACATTGAAAAAGAATTTGAATTTAAACCAAGGGGTTTTTTCAACAAGTTTTCAAACATTCCGTAAGCAAGTAATACTCATAAAGTATATAAACAAACTGAATTGTCAACAAGACTTGATCGAGTAACAAACAAAAAGTTGCGGAAATAGAAGAAAAAATAAAGGAAAAAATTAGAAGTGCTGGATTGAAACATCTCTCAAATCATCTCGCTATGGAATTCGCCTTCAAATCAAGTGATATCTTGGTAAATGAAATGGATAAAAAGATTGAAAAGTAGTTTTAAAAATCTTCCCTCTGATTTTTTTAAAATCAATTTGCGGAATAGGAGTAGGAATAAACTTTGAAGAATCCTAACAGTTGAAGAAGGATCGAAACAAAAGAACCAAGATTAAGCTAAGTCAAAAATACCATTACATTTGTCGGTTACTGTACAAAACGAGTTCACTTACCATAACTGGTTCAGCTCCAGGCATTCGTAACTCGGTGATTTCATTGGCTATCATTATTTGGCAAACATCTAATGTTAATAATGACAGAAGCAAAAGTGAGAACTTCTTGTAGCCTAAGGCAAACATTTTATTTACGACTGAATCCCTGACGATCAATATTGTGGTAGACCAAGGAGGCGTATTCTTGGCAACTTCAATGGCTACCGCTGTTGCTAGGCTTTTGCATATTGATCTATACCGGCTGAGCCTCACTTCTGTGTTGCTTCAAAAACTGGCTGGATATGATGGATAGGGGAATGTTTTGTTATTAACAAAATCTTGCATGTTGCATGTTTTGCCACTTTATTGACTTTGCTGTTATCGTCCTTAATATACCTTGGAATGGTTTTTATATTGAAAACTTCAAAAGGTAATTCTTGTTGGTTATGGAAGTTGGCTTAGATGATGTCCAGAAATGTATATATGTGTCTCGGATTTCAGAATTAGATCCTGATTAGAATTCGCTAAACAAGCTAATTTGATTGCGAACTATAGTTAAAGCTTGCAAACTTCTACTTCAATCATCCGGTCCTGCCAAAACCATTCACGGCTTTATACCTGAAATGAAAAATAAATTTAGAAGAGGCCACAGCATGCAATAAAACAGGTTTAGCCAAGCTTTAAAAAGGCTGAGTCATCCGCAAAGAGAAGTGAATGTCTGAAGCAAATGAATGAATCAATCGCTTTTTTTATTAACTCTTTCTTCTAAAGAGAAATGGGATACATACTTGGGAAATTTTGATCAAATCTGACCTGTCCAGAAAAGAAAAAAAACCGAAGACGAGTCATTATCTGATCACACATCGATGAGACGAATGAAGGAAGAGTAACTTCTTGTTTGTTGCAATTTCATTTTATCAATTTTTTAAGAAATTTGAAATGTATGAGATCCCTTCACTAAACTTCATAATTATCCCCCTGTAAAGTTTTGATTCAAAATTTTTCCAGCACATCCTTGGCTGAGTTGAGATGTACCAGTTAGCTATAATTATTCATTTGTTAGTTTGTTTTGAAAAATGATAGCATCGCATTTGTCATGATTATTCATGAATGAAACGTTTCACATGTCACGCCATTTCTTCAAGTTCTCTGGAATCTTGAAAGGATCGAGATTCCGAAACTTTCAGAATCCGGGTATTCCTCAAAAGCATTAGGACTTTCTTAGAAACCATCAACAGATCAATACCGATTGCGCCGCATTTCTGTAACTCCTCAGGGTTAACGAACGTAAATTCCTTTTCCTTTTCGGTAAATTTGGTAACCCTACAGTCCTAAAAATCATCACTATCACTGAAGTTCAACAACCATGAAAACTACCAGGGAAACTTGAAGTTAATCAACCCAACGAATTGTACATGACATCTTACTTTTTTTATTTCAAAACATCTCTAGCTGAAGTTTTATAAACAATTATGAAAACTGAATCCTCAAGTTGATTTCACTTATTATGGATCATCTGCAGCACAGATTTCACATTCAGTTTCATGGTGACTTGCATACCTCAACCTACTGTCATGTTCCTTCCTCTTGAGACTTTGACCTCAATGATTGTTTCTGCCTTTCTCTATCTATGCAACAGCAAACGAAGAAAGCTCTACAAAGACAGCAAATTTCTCCGCAATAGTCGTGTATTGCTCTTTGCTTGTCCTACTGAATTCTGCTGAAGTCACATCCACTCTGCCACCATTAGAATATGCTTTAGAAATTTTCATAAAATCAGAGCAGCATTCCAAAACTCCTTCATTATATTTCTAAAGAAAAGGGAGATCCAAAGTCCAAAGTCTTCTTATCCCCTTAATTTAATTAAACCCAAACTGAAGGTTTCTGGACTTTGAAATTTTAAATTTGTTTTTCAATATTTGTGAACGACGAAGTTAGATACTCAAAACAAAGCAGAATAATTGACACGAATGCTAGTCATATTTGTGAACCTTTATATAAGTACTAATTGAAAGAAAATAACGTCTTCTCATCTGAAGCAATCTGACCAACCAAGTCTGAGAATTTTTGAAAATCACCTCGCTTCTGAATGGAGTACACCGATGGCTCCTTCTCATGTAGACGTGCTAGCCTACGATGTGATGTGAGTTAACGAACTGTCGCGAATCTTCGATATTTGAGACTACCCCAAATTCGTTATTATTATTGCTGAAAATCTTTGCAACAAAAAATCAGATTTTGTGCTGAGCGACGTGTCATATCAACTTCATGTTTCCATTCAGTGCTCCTACAAAAAGTCAACACCGGCATCTAACATTTTTTTTCTTCAGTATGAAGGTAATCCGAGAATTTACTTCTCCCAAATATTTGGGACAAAAATTTATATTCAAACTAAAGACGAAACTACAACATGAATTATTACGCTATAGGCGACTATTAGTTTGATTTAATTATAACAAAAAAAAAGCAACAATCCATCTCACATACTTCAGTAACATCGAGAACGACTTATTTTGAAGTGCATGCGTACTTCGTAAACAATTTAAAGTCACACAACATTAAAGTTTTGAAAACGAGTTACTAGTGGTTCAATCTGTTTATAACAAAAAATAAAAAAGTAATAAAAAGCCATCCCACATATTTCAGTAACACCGAGAACTTGCACGAATACTTTATGAAAAATTTAAATCTAAACAGCACTAAAGTCTTAGGAACCTTCCATCAAATTATCAACAATGGAGTTTTAAGTCACCCACATAAATGAACAGCATAAAGAATTTCTTCAGACAGCAATCCATAACTGCTATTAACTTGAAGGACCGATTGCTTCTAAACATCAACCGTAATGGAGTTCTGAGCAGAGTGATTCTATTTCTTATTTTCTTTGCCAATTGTACCGGTACTCGATCACTTCTGGAAGTGATTGCTTTTTAGGAGATATATTTCATAAAGTGCCATAAGGAGAAATAGAAACATCAATCACTCATCATCAAAACGCAAATGCATCGTCAAAAAAAAAATCGCTGAGCTAAAAAACAGCAACAACTTTGTATGAACAGAAAACACGATTAGGAAATTCATGAGAAATGTGACACAGACTTTTCGATTCTGAGCCGCTTGTGTGCGCATAAGAGTGGAGCGGAAATGTGCATGAACAACTGCTTCGTCGTATTCGCGACGACCAAAAGGATTATTGCAACTTGTAGTTGTGCAAGTACAAGGGAATGATGGCCGATCCACCTGGGATACATGGTAATAACAAACACAACAAATTGCACAGTTAACAACATATACAGTAGTGTTTAGTGATAATTAATCTTTCGATTGTCTGTTCCTTTTTATAAACATTTAACCTCATATAAAAATTTATGACAGGAGCAAATGAAAGTAACAATTCTAAACGATGAAAGTAACAACTCCGACTTTTTATAAAAATATCGAGGAAACTCAAAGTCAAAGTTAATCTCTCGGAATTTCGTTCAAATCAATCCAATACAACCAAAACCATCAAGCTAATATTAGCGAGGCATAGGGACAATCCAGTGGAACAAAAGCCCTTACCAAACATTCGATACCGTTTTTAGAACACTCGCAAGTTTCAGGTGAACACGATAAGGTACCACATGAACAACCACATTGTTTTCGACTTTCTCGTATAACATTACAGATTACTTGATCATCCTTGAAATAAATTTGGAAGTAGTTCAAAACAATGTTTCCGACTTTCTCGTATAACATTACAGATTACTTGGTCAACATATATTCAGCGGAATTACGGGAAACGTCTTTGCAATAGCTAAAAAATCTTTTACTCATTTGATGCAATCACATTATTTGTCCATAACTGTTGACCATCTGGAACACGATGAAATACACAGTACAACAGTATAAAAAAACTTAAAACAAAGGCTGACCTTTAAAAATTTCTTAAAACCTGCATTCCTCAATTTGAGTAATCTAATTCTTCGACTGAGTGGACGGAAATATTTCTTCACTACGTAAATATTATCTTCCTCGCTTTCTTTTTCCATCTAAAATTAAAAATTTACATACAGACAGAAAAAAGAACACACTGTTGCCAATTAAATCTTCCTCACGACGTTGAAAACATACGCTGTCACCATGTCCAGATGCATCCTCTGGCATACTTTTTAACGATTTCCATTCAGATGTTCTTGACTTTTCACTATCTACATTTGTAGTTGCTTTCGTTTTTGGTAACGCTTGGTCCACTAGTCTATAACTGAATCTTAGTTTTTTTGTCACTGCAGAGTTTTCGTCCAATGCATTGCAATATCTTCGTTTACGTTTGGTTGACACTGTGCACATTTGCTCAACCAAATTTTTCGCAACTGGTTTATTGTCTTGCGACTAAAAGAAACAGCGAGATAAAAATTAAAATCTAAGATTTAAATACCTAAGTCTAAACCAATGCACCACTAACGAGCAAATGCCGATGTCAGTGTATAGATAAAGCTGGTATATCGACGCTTCGTATATAGATAAAGTACTTGCTTTAAACATTCCCTCTACCGAACAATACAAAAATGAAGTACTATTTTCAAAGGACTAAAAACAAATAATAAGTAGTTCTCTTAATAACAAGAGAACAGAGCAACAAAAAACCTTAGTTATGTCATCGGTTATTTTGCTGCACAGCGCAACTTCACACATATCGAAATGTTTCTTCTGCATTCCTGCAACCAAAACTTCGAAAAATTTAAGTATTTAAAGAAAATGGAACTAGCTTTCCACTTAAGAACAATTAATGAAGCTATTTCCCTAACAAAATTATGGAGTACACATGAGTATTATGAGAAGCAAACAAAGCATAATTTTTAGATGATCCAAAAAGGTACATGACGCAAACGTTAAAAGCAAACCAAGTGCAAAGCCACCGGAAGACGGAACAGCATCAAATCCTTGTGTCCTTTCGAAAAGATAGATTTTCACATTTTTAAATCGCACTCCTTTCTTATGCCTGTAAATAATCGTTTTTTCCTTTAGGCAACAACACCAAATCCTTGAGCTTTCTTAGACATCGTAATGTAAACACTCAAGGTTATCGAATACCAATTGCACTGCAAATTTCTTCTAACATCGTCCACTTTTGTTCCCTTATTGGCGTACATTGATACAATTTCTTTATTTTGAGGTTTCGCAAAATCCTGAGATCATTCGCAAAGAATAACCCATTCATTGGCGTTATTGTTTTACACAACCTATACTAAATTCAATATGAACTCTGAATCAGATAAAATAGGTCACAGATCAGAATGAGAATGAAACCTTCAGAATGAAACAATTTTCGATCAATTTTGACGAATACCTCACTAGTGTTATATTTAAGTAAATGTTATCGCCTCTATGCATCTTGTTTAGAGCAAAAACAAAGAAAAAAAAATGCAAAGAAGATCTGACAAATATGCACGAAAGTTTCTGTTTCATTCATGGAATTTTAAAAAACTTCACCTTCCATTACTAATTGCACTGCTATTTATATCACTCTCTCCGGATGTGTTGTTTGAATTACCACTGGAACTTGAGTAATCACTGCAAACTGAATACTGTGCATCCATGCCAATTTGTTATTCTTCTGCTCAAAAAATCAAATTCAAACAAAACGACGAATTGAAATTTAATCAGATTGTGCTGAACTTTGTTAGAGACATCTACAAGAATACATTCTGGTTAAGAAAGGTTATTCGAAGATAATTCAAACAAGTACCAACGAGAGAACCAACGCCCGAACCAACAATGACAACTATTGTTCCAAACTAGCATTTGCTTTGCCTCAAAAAAAAATTGAAATATTCGCAACTCGGACTAAACCATCCCAATAGTTTTCGCAATGAGATGACGACTGGTTGTCCATCCAGCTGTGCTATCGCTATGGTTTTTTCCTGATGCTCGAGAAGAACTTCGTCTTTGCTCCACTTACCGACCCTGCCATCTGCTGAGAGTATGGTGACGTGTTGTTTGTATTTGTTGACAGTGGGGACTGAACAAATATATGAGCAAATCATTTATGGAGGAGTATGCCGAAACCAAATCTTTCAAGTTGAAGATTATTCAAGATTCCGAGGGGAACCGCCAATTTTCTCATATAATTTCGAGTTAAAAACACTTCCTGTTCATTTCAAAGTAATGAATAGTACCGAGTGAGTCAGACATCTTAGACTGAGACTTCCGACAAATCTCATTCATTTTTTGTAGGGTAAGTGGTTCATATCACAGGGAGCCTGACTTGCTGAAGATACATATAAGTAATTCAGTCAGTTGCATACTGCAACGAGAAATCTCGATGATAACGATTTGCTTATTTACTTGCAAGGGTCTTCTCTCTCTCTTATTTTCACCTCCTCAGCTCGCGTTCTCAAACTCCCCAAATTTTCATGGTTTATAGACAGTTTAATCAGACGAAGTGAATGAAGTCCTAACTAAATTAAGGTGGTCATTTTTTTGTCTTTTACTTGCCAATCATTAAAAGCATCTCGGTTGTTTTAATTATAATAAGAACATGAATAGAATACGATGTGAGGTATGTTGACAAGTTCGACTTTTACTTATCAAAACAAAATGACACATATTTATCAAATGTTATAATCAGCAAGAAAAGAATACTGAACATAGCATGTATCAAGTAGGTCATTCTTCTCTTAGCGAGACTGACAACACCCCGGTTTTGTATGGCGTGCTCTGTGGTACCTCACCACTGAACACAATCAAATCGTCAACCGTTATCTATAAAATTTAACTCTTTTAATTATTATGTATATTTTAGAAGCTCACGCAGTAATAATATGCATATATAATATATAAAGATCAAAATGTCTAAATTTTTAGAAGGGTAATGTTCAGAAATATTCTTTTAAATATGTTTAAATATGCTTAAAATAGATGTATTTGGGAATATATTTAAGAATAATGAATAAGATGAATAAAATGAAATATCGATAAGATCATAAAGTAACAATATCTGTGCTAATTTTTCTACTTGATCTGATGAGGTTTGAGAGAATGAACCGAATTACAGTGAGTTCCTTATTTCTTCATTAAAATTATTCATTTATCTATAGAACAAAGAACAAACAGTGACAAGCCGCGCTCCACGTTCCGGTGTTTTCCGATAGTTGTACACATTGATATGTGATACGTAGGTTGGAATGTCGAACACAACAAATACCCTTGCACAACGATTAGGCAGAATTGGTGTCAACCACATATGCGATGGACTGGAATTCTCAACAGATTTTACATTATATGAAAGAACAGATGCATTTATAATCTTCATAAAGTATGCTACCCATGAAATTTTCAAATTAATCAGTAGCCCATCCTTAAATAATAAGCTTTTTAAATGTCACAGAATCATATAATTTGGTAGAGAAGGTAAATGGAGAAGAAACTTTTCGGTATCATTGAAACCATCGATGAGTTTGTCGCTTGTTCGTGGATCATCATTAACGTTTGGCAGTACATTCACACTCTCCGGAAATGCTGCCAGGTCTGCAAAATTATATTTCTAATCGCTATAGTTTTGTAAAGTTTAATCATTCAACGGCTCATGGAACAGGTGGCTAACTATTCTGATATGGTTAGAATGAAATTTTCATGCTCTCAACCATATAATCTAGTCAAAGAAATATCATCATATGAATAATGATTATATCGGTGTATAAGCAAACTATGTGAGAGAAGTTTGATGAGTTCCTCGCGATGATTGTAAAATTCGATCCCATTGAGACCAATATAGTATTCATCACCCCAGCTGCAATGCAACCGCAACTGATATGTAACTGTAAAAGATGATGTTCTGCTGGTGGGCAATATTATGTAAACAAATGAAGTTATTGGACTTCAAGATTTTACTTGATAAATGATCTAGAAAAAATCATAGCTAACAAAAACTTCGAGAAGTAATATTATTGAAAAAGAAAGATAAAATTTGAAGGCGTTGTCACTAACATCCATAAATGGACTGTGTTTGCGGTCTGGATAGAGGCTTATAAAGGGTGCATTTGTTGAAAATGATATCTTGTACGTAGTCGAAGTGAATATATCCTGAAACTTCTATTGGTGCAGAAAAATCTTCAAATGATCATTCTTAAAGGCTTAAGGACAGTTTTAACTTGAAGAAGCTTAAAAACATGAGATTTGGAAGTGAAAAGAGATTAGCTGAACCTGTGGCAAAAGGATAATCGAGGCATCCTGAAAACTCTACTCTTTTCAACGAAGAAGTTGATGTATAGATAAAAGTTCGAAGTATGCAGCCATATGAAAGGAGAGGAAGTGTCGCTTATCAGTAAAATTATGAAAAACCTGGAGCTTTCCTTAACAATATGGGCCCTTGAAGAAGTTCGCCATTGGCATACATTTGGATGCAACGAACTCCTGCATATGACATCTCTGGTGAAGCATTGTAATTCCACACGCAGATACCTGAGTCATAAGAAACTATTATTCATCTGTGGAAGAATCAAAATCAGATGAAGATCAAACCACTGACAACTTGCTCCTCTGATAACTCTATAGTTTTTTCTTTTAATTTCGAACATTTAAAATTCAGATTTTGATAAAGCGTCATAATTTAACTATGACTGCATGTAACTGTGGAAGTCCAAGGATTTGTTCTTATATTGTTTTCACCAGCCTATGTTTATACTAATTAATGCACCTGAAACGATAATGGGTTTTGCGAACGTCACTGTTATTCGTACTGGTGGTGAATTACGTGAATATGACGAAAGCCACATATCTTCTCTGTTTCTTGTTAAATTCACCCCATTCAATAATCTAAATCCAATATCTCATTAACTTGCAAATACTTAGCACTTCTGGTAGATTATCACAGATGTAATTTATAAATTCAAACGAATACAAGAAATGCAATGCTTCACACTCATTGTTTTAAGCAGATTTGTATGTCCTTATCTAGTGAACTTCAAAGAAGTTTCTAGCTTTATGCGAAGATACAAAAATAACTGTATTTTAGTATGACATTTTAAGTGAGACGATCTATTAATCTGAAAGTTTGAAGTATTGGGCAAGCGGTATTGCATACATTTATTCCCGGTATAGTTGAAAATTGGACAGATACGGTCATTCTCAGTATGACATTTGTTTTAATAAATATTAGTTAATATTTGCAGTAATATGACAAAAAACATCTACAGCAACATAACAAAAACCTGTAAGAAGTTTGTGTGGCAGTAGATGTTGTTATACTGCAATTCAAATGATCCAAAACGATACCATGCGGATCGAGAAATTGTAAACCCGTCAAGCCGATACAATCCGGTGCACCCCAGTTTTCCAGAAGTTCCACATGAAATACTGAAAACATATTCCCAAAATGGGAGTTAAACGAAAAAGGCTCGTAGACTTGAAGAAGTTTAAATAGAGCCGTTATCCTTATTTCATAAAATGCCTGTTGAAAGTTCATTCCTTTCATCCCTTTAAACACGTTACTTAATGCGTTACTGATTAATTTGCTTGAATTTTAGAGCCATAGTAGATATAAAAAGATGCTCTCAGTATCTTCGAACACTACGCAATATTTGTGTTGTGTGATGTTTGGAAGATATTGAGATCAAATTATTATTTTAACAGTTAGATTATTATTTTAGCACAATGCATCATAGCAATTTTCGTAATATTTTCCATGCTACCAGTGTAAACACACCAGAATAGAAATATTTACTGCTACTGTTATTCATCTATAGAATTTTGATGAAACATTTGCAACAGATATAGTTAGTTTCAGCAAGGTTTCGGGCTTGAAACTTTAAATAAGCATTTCCATAAATTCTAAACAGAACAACTTAATTAGCTGTTGTCCAGTTCTCAGTAAATTTTCAATACCTTTAAGTAGAGGAAGGTCAATGCCTTCTTGTTTTGCTTTCGTCTCATCATTTTCTTTTCTATCTTTTCTTTTTGTACTGCAGCTACAAACACATCGTTTCGGAACAGTTTCTTCAGCGATGTCGGTATTTGTTGATTGTTTATCACTGCACCGCGCTGTACTTCGAACTCGAGATTTTCGATCACCAGTGACTGGTCTGAGAGTATTTGGCGCATTTAACGTTTCTGTTCTTAACGGCGCTTCGATTGTGGCAGAAATTATAAGTGGTTCCTCTGCATTCATTATTTTTTAAAAGATGAAACTGATAAATATTCAATTTTGCCTTCCATTAAGACAATTATCAGTTATCCAGTATAAATAAAGCACACTAAAATATCTTAAATTCAAGAAGCATTTTCCAAGACCTAATAACAAAGATTAAAATGACATGGTTTAGAACTAAGTCAAGCCAACTTCATTACATTCGTTTAATTGTAATGGTAATTTGCAGTAATGCAGTAAACATTTCACAGCATTTATTTAAATGGTATTGGTTTAATCAAATATCACACATCTATTATTGCAGTGAAACAAAAATAGCGATTTTAAGAATACATTTATTTATTTATTCAAAATGTACTGAAAGAAAAACCTTCAAGTTCGTTGGCCAATTCGTGAAGATCCAAAGCACTCCGCATTATACCATCTCTTCGCAAACACTTATCGTTTTCAGCGATTAGCTCCAATATATTATCATTTGTTGTAAATAGAATCGTCTAAATTGTTTCGAGATTAATATAGAATCATCGTACAAATGAAATCATTACTGCATTCGTCATGCATAAAGTTCACAGTGATTCATCACGTCCGATTATGATTTCACCTTATCCGTATAACTTCAAAAATGTCTGAATAAATGATTCATTCTTTCCTTAAACCGCGAAGTCAGATTACGGGAAACCTCTATATAATGCATCGTCATACAACTAAAGCATTCTAGTAAAATCCCAACAGCAAATAATAACTATAAAATGTCTTTTGTATCTCCTGAAAATCAAGAATAACAAATGAATTTTCCAAGAGATGTTCCAAAAATGCTAACATCACCCATGGATTCTTCTTCATCTTCAAAAGTAAATGCACATGATATCTCGCCCTGAAATATGGTTGCACCATCCAATTCGATACAAAGATCATGCACACCGCACAGTGCGTGAACACGCGATTCGTTGTAGTTCTGTAAAAATTTCTTCACTACTTTCTCGTAATTTTGATTTAAAAACTTAACAGTTCTTTTTGTTTGATTTATTTCAGTTATTTGCTTGCTTATTTTTATCTTATACACTGCTTATTTCGCTTAATCTCCATTAGCAAGAAATATACCCAAATTCGGATCATCGCAATACTTTCCTGTTCTTTAAGGCGAATTTCAATGTAAAGTAATTCTGCTAGATTATCGTATCTGAAATTGTTACACTAAAATATTGTTTATGCATTCCATCCGTATCATGCCACATTATAATATTATCGGCTTCTTTTCCTTTTTCATGTTATTTTGCGTTTCTTTAAATAAGCATATACACCTGGCAGACCACATTTTGCGCGGATCATTGGTAGACTGATTCGTCTCTCCATTCTTGAATACATTATCCAGGGAGCCACGCGTTACAGTGGCATTTGTTTTCGTCTGCAACTTGATTTTTCGTTTCATCGTTTGTAGAGTGATAAAAAGGAGTATGCGTTGCTCAAAGTCTCTCAAAATATATGTTTTGAAGCATCAGTTCAGTCACAAATATTTGTCAATCCGACTAACCTATATTTGTCACTAACTAGATATTCCCTGCTGATAGGATATTGATAATCACATTATCTTTAGAGTAATGAAAAAGAAATCAAGCACAATGTCCTTACTTCGTCAATCCTCGGTCTCTCACCAATAGCATTAAATAGTTCGATAGTGTTGAGACCAATGAAGTGCGGATCATCCCAGGAACTGCACAGGATGAACCGAACGAGCTCACCTCGCGGGAGCTCTGGAATCGCAAAAGCATATCTTAAATTGAATCGAAATCACGTCATATAAAGAAATATAGATAGCCAGTAATACATATGACTACCTTCAAGGTCATGGCAACCACCATCTCCTTCAGTCATAATTCAGCCATCAAGCCTGAAGTTTTACTATAATTGTTAAAACGGAACTAATTAAGCCACATATACTGAAAGGACAATTTTCACACGTACGCTTCGCCTGATCCATTGCAATCAGGCAAATGCTTCATCGTACTCACACTTTTCGACATCTTTATTTTAGGATCGTCCATTTGTTATGAGGTGAAGGAGGATTGTCTTTGCGATACGCCACATCATTTCATTAGAACGTTCGGATCTTGCATCCTGAATTATACACGGATATAAAAGTTTATTGATTATTTCCCCTTTGGTATAATTTATTACAGTTTTAAATGTAGCGACTAGTTAAAGAGTATCACCAAGCAGAAGCAGAGTTTGAGTTACTTCCGGGAATGTGATTCTCAGCTTCCATCATTTTATTCGGGAAGGTACTTGGTTCAGGTTGACGGTGACAAATGATAAAGGCAGATAATACATTAATTAACATCAGTTATTCGCCTAATTAATTCATTGCATTTATCTTTGACCATTACACCAGGTACAATGAAATCAATGAAACGTTCAAAAAGATGGAAAAAAAGAAAAGTGTTTGTACGAAATGAGGGAAGTGTGGCAGGATATAGTGGAAGTTGAATATGTCGCAGGCTTGTGACACGTTACCATGGGCACCTTTATTGCAGGAGTTGCAACTTGAATTCATCGAAGTTCTCTTCCTCTTTTAACTTTACTTAGTTTTTATCTTTGTCGACGTGTTTGTCACAAACTTGACTGACGACGCTATTACTTCTGTGCAAAGTTTCTATTTTATTTTATGTCAGCGAGAAAACCACTAATATTCTGTTTATGCACTTTTTTTTTAAACATAACAAACTTAGCATGCAACACTGTAACCTTGTCAGACTGAAACTCATACATAACACAGGTAAGCTTCACAAAAACCACTGTTTTCAAGGATAGCGATGTGCGGCACCAGTCAACATTAGCAGTTCACCTGATCAGATTAAATCTCTTCCTTACCAAAGCTCCAAAATGCAGGATGTGGTGAAGCTTTATTCCTGGCCAAAACGCCATAATCTATCGAACTTTAAAACTGTGCCATCAATAATTTACTTAGATGGAAGCAGAATAATCTAATAACTGATTCTATATAATGGGATTGTTGTAAAGTAACATGGAATATTTATCAAGCGACAACGCCAGACTCATATTACCCTGCAGCCGGATTTTCTTTTTTGTTGGTCAAAAAGTTTCTTGTTTGAAAACGTGAGTGCAAAGGATGAGAAAATTCAATTCGTAAGTTCAAATCTCAACACAGTTAAATTAGTTTTCCAGTTCCGAATCCAGCTGGTTTTAACAGGTAGGTCCTTTGCAGAGCGGTTTCACATAAACTCGGATAAATGGTTCTTCATAAACTTCCGTTATATTCAACTCTTCAAATGTTCCGCTCATATTTGGCTGCTGTTCTAGGTCAATACTCGACTCCGGATTCCTTTTCAACTCTCTGTCCTTTAGCAAATCATTTTCTGTTGTAACAACGTGTTCGGATAATTGGATTGTGGACTTGGTGGTCGGCGATACGACGCTTTTTTCGAACATGGACTAAATTTTGGAAATTGTAATTCACGAGCAATTTCATTTTGAAATTTTTAGCTGGTTAAAGGAATTCCTCAAGTTTTTCTAGATCCAGCGGACTTATTTTTGTAAAATCAGACCATGATTATAGGTTTAAAATAACCACAAAATCGAAAACATCCCAATATGCAAAAAGTCTTCCAGATTTTGAAAAGAAAATTTACTGCAGTTTCCCGATTGCCATCATCTTTGTTTTTGTCCCATACTGTCACTGACAAATGAACGGTCTGCTCATCTGGATCAGTAATCGTCAAGACCAGTGGTTCAGTCGGGTGTTCCAGCATTATACCAGGTATTATCCGACCTAGCACATCGTAATCTCTACTTTTCGCATATTCCTTCTTTCGATATTTAATATATTCGAGTCCCAGTGAGCGGTGCAGTACCTCGGTTGGAAATACACTTTTATTCAATTTCTTCCTCCAATTTTTTTCATAATCTGCAATGTAAACATAATGAACTGATAAATAGTTCAATACCAGAACAAATTCCGTATATATCATTCAAAATATTCACAAGCCTTTAAAATGAATCATTCATTACTTGATCGAGAAGTTTTATTGGTACAGCAACACAAAGAACCGGAATGTTGACTATTCTGTTTAAATATATTCAAGACAATGAAGGGAAGAGGAAAAATGCTAACAGTCGGCTTCGTTACGATCAATAAATCGTCCAAATACGACCGATAATAAATTGGAAAACAGAACGAACAGTACAAGTGGCATAAGGTCTCCGCTTCACTGAAAGATGAAATAGTGAATACGACACACGCAGTCGCACATCCTAGCAATAGTGGTGCACGCAGTTGCACATATAAGCAATCGATATTGTATTAATTAACACAACAGTCGTTATTTTAATTATAACTGTACCGTACTTTTATTTTTCAATAATTTAGGAAGACAAAAAAGCAAAACATGTCGAGTACAGTGATCACCGAGAGATCTAAATTGCTGAATCATTCAGATCATGGTTCTGCTTTTTTCAGGAATATGACGAATGCAAAATTAACATGAAAGAAATTTGGCCGCAGAAGTTCACAGTTTCTCTTCTTCCTTGATTACTTCTCGTGGAAAATAAACAAGAAGGAGAACTAAGAATACCTTGCAATATGCTGGATCACTTTCTGCTAATTTAATTGAAATATTTCAAAATGTAATGTAAAAATCGTTATTCATCATCAGTGGCACGAGCAGTACAATGATTAGTTTTAATTTCAACCGCCAAAAGCTGTTTAGCGTTGGAAGAGAAAGAAATAATTATTTAAACCAAATTTTATCGATTTCATTAATGAGAAATTTAATATAAGCTAAGGAACAGATCAGTACGGTTAAGGATGGAATGGCGGAGCGGAAATGTACAGAAGGAACGGTGTTCCAACTGAGCCGATTGAGTTAAAGAGGTTTGCCAATGCAACCAGTTTCAACAACTGACTGTCTACAAATCAGCCGGGGTGAGAGGTACAATTCAGTAGAGAGAACAGAAATGTGACAAGATACAGAGAGAAGGAGAGGGAAATGCCTTCTCACCGCCCCGGAAACAATCTTTCTGATTAGTCAAGAAGTTCCGGAATTTCCCAAAACTAATTTTTTGAGTAGCGTTGTGTTTAAATATAATTCCTGATGGAATAGAATTCTCTCATCTGATATGTAAAATTATTATTCCTTTCTATGAGCAATTAAAATTTATCAACAATCACTGTCACTGTTGCTTTTTATTGTCACACGGCGTGCTTAACTTTTTCAGATGCAGCGAATAGAAAATTTAAATTTATTTTTAAAATTACCATGCAGTAAACAAAAATAATGTAATTACAACGGCAATTTAAGTGATTTTGTCTGGTTGTCACTCTCATTGGTGGTCTTCAGCTCTCATTGCTATTCAATGAACTGGAGTCATTCTCTTCGGAACTCTGCTTCTTTCCGGATTGTTCTTGTGTTTTTTCCGTTCTTTCTGGGAAGCACTGTCTAACTTGCTACAAAATCAGCAGGCTAGATTATGCGACCCTTTCCGATACAAAAAAACTATGATGACTTTCTCAACAGATTCTTATTGCTAAATTCTACATTTTTGTTGGTCATGAGAATAATTTGCAATTTGAAGGCTCTGGAATTATTGCAGAAAGATTTGAGAGGTAGAAACTTTGTAAAGAACAATGTTAAGTTTATATTAGGATAGCACGCAATGCATTCCATGGTAGGATGCGTTGCATGTACCACTGCATATTACAAGGCAAGCTCATGCAACTAACTTTATAAAATGCTATCAATTCTTTCCTTTCCTGTTGAAATTCTTCGTCAGATTGCCGGTTGATCCGTTCATTAATTTCTTTCAACTCATTTTGCTTCGTTTTTGTCTTTTCCTTTGTCTGCACACACTAAAGACAATTATTCTTAGTTGCCAAAACAAGTGCAACATACCAATTAATTCAGTAATTTCGACTAAATATACACTTGTTTAGTCAAGAATTTCTTTTCATATATGCAAGCAAAATTCCACAATTATAGTCATTTCCTTTGGGAGTTGCATCAGTAATTTTACCTTGCTTATTAAGATTAAAACAAACCTACTGACTATTTCCCACTAAGCGACTGTTAACAGTCGCTTAAAAAGTGAGGATAATGTAAATATCCTGTGCTTTTCAATTTAAATTTAAAGTTTCAAGAACTTAATTGAACACTAAATACCAAATTTAACAGACATTTTGGATTAATTTTGAATCGGATGAATTTGTTATTTGAGTGATTGATGCACTTGCTAGAATTGTGCGGTCTGTCACTTCATTCAGTTTTCCAGGCGTTTTTAGAGATGACGCTTGTTGGCTTTGTTGTTGTAGTTGTAGATGATGCCGTTGTCGTTGCTCTTGCTTTTGCTGCTTCTCTTTGATTTGCTTTTTTTGCGTTATATAGCAGTAGTATGTTGCAACTATGATCACTATAGTAATAGTGACCACTGTAATGATTGATATGATAACCCATTTGATCTTTGACCTCGTACTATTCTTTTCGCTTGTAGTAGTAGCTAAATTATAAACTGATGAAATAAAGAATATCAATCAGCTGTAAGATCTATGCAAGCTTTAAAAATTTAAAAAAGGTTGTTGGTTAGCAGATTTAAATAATTTTATGATCGAAAAGCAATACTGAGGCAATGAGATTGTTCTACTCTCAATATTTCCAGACAGGATATGACTTCGGGTTATTGGATTATCAAACATTAAATCATTCCATTCGATATATGCTTAATTACGTGACGTGATAAATGAACGTAGAAAAGTCACTTCCTGCGCAGTACAGAGTGATTTTTATATGATATCTTTCAGGTCGGTAATAATTCTTAATAACTGCCTATAACTTTCGAAAAAAAACAAATATTAGACATCAGATATTAGAACCAATTGATCCTTGACCTCGTGTTATTTTTCTTTGAATGAAAGGATTGATAAAATGGAATGGTTGATGGATAGCATAAATTGCCGACATGCGCGTTTGGTATCATTAAAACAAACAGGGTATTATACCGCACAATCAAGTACTGTAGCAAGGAAAGCAAAAAGTGCGTTTTGGATTAAAAACATACATATCCGTGTATAATCAATATGATTGAAAATAATTACTTTCATTACAATCGATTAACAACCATTTCACAGTTTTTTCATTAACATCGTCAGCGATACTCAATTCACACAATTTATATAGCTGCAATTATGACAGTCAAATTTTATAATAACTCCTCAATTTATAGTATTTGTCATACCCTTCGAAGTATTTCTTCTTCAGCAACATTGGTGATGTGTACATGTAGTTCTTCTGGTATCGTTTTAGCATATTGAATAACATCCATTAGTCGTTTATTGCATTCCGCACTTACGCTCAAAATTGTCAGTTGGTTATTCTCTCTGTGGAAATATGCTTCTTTTGATATACACTGCATAATTCCTTTTCCACTGAATTTCTGCAATCAAAAATCCTGAGGCATCTCATATGTGAATGCTTTTTCAATCAGATTTAAAACCCGCTGGATGTTAAGTTGTTGAACTGAGCTTTGAGCCTTCTTAGGAAAAACTTTCTTTGAACTTTCTTTCGTACTCTAAGTATAAGAAGAGTTACAAACTTGCAAATACTATTCCTACTGTGAATATTTCTGCAATATCTTTGAATATCTTTGCAAGTGTCTTCCTGCAAAATATGGACTTATTGAACCAATTTTAACATTATTTTGCGAGAATGCGATTAGATATAAGTGTATTCTTTATTCATATTTGCAAAAGATTCGTGATCATGGTACTTTCAAATGTAAAGTTTGCTTTACATTTGAACGATCAGATTCTTTTGGGCCATGATCCATTCTCAAAAAACTCACAGCTATTCGCACCCCAAACTGATGATGAGCACCAACAAAAATGACTGTCATCAAAATATAAAACAACCGCATGGAAACATACGAAAAACTAAAAGCGTTTGAACGATTTGTCGAACTAACCTTTTCATGAAATATTTCATAATAATGAAAATTTCTTATTTGACTAGATAAAATTTTGCGACTATCAGAGCTTATCATGCTTGAAACAGCTGGTCAACATTAGCCTGAAAACAATGGAATTCCATACTGCCATGATTTCACCTTGCAAAATTTCAGAAATTTGCTTCGTTCTATTAGATAGTTTCCAATGTCAGACTTGCTTCCATAAATAAAATCAATGAATCAAAGGGCGTCGATTGTTTCATTGTAATTTGTGATTATAAAAACTGTGAAATCCGTTTTGATATGTTTTCCATTTCTCGTTTCTGATGCATCTGAATTCCATTAAATCTGATTAACATTGATTGCATTAGGATTTACATAAAACTATATCAAAGAATTAACAAGATTTTTGCAAGATAGTTTGTCTATTCTACAATATATCTACTTTACTGTATTTCCTGGTTATGGAGGAACAATAGCGAGAGATGACAGTGGTATACTTGTAGGGAAAAGTATCCCGGAAGTGATACAAATGAAGAACTATTGGGCAACATCAATCTTTTTCAGAAATTCAGTAAATTCAAAGGTAACAATCCTATTCTTCCCAGACTATTATCATTTAGATTGTCCACCCAGTTGACGCTGAAACCAAAACACACTCCAAAAACTTTCCTGTTCGATGGTATTTCATCGTATTTTAAAACAAATGAAACCACGATATCATACGAAGTACAATACTTCTTCGATTGTGAAAAATACGTAGCGCAGACTAGTTAAAGAATAGGAAAATAAACCTATATGTGCAATCAATACTCTTTTTGATTCATTTATCTTCCTCTAGATTTTAATCGTTCCGACATGTGGAAAGACATTTTCTATGGATTCAAATCTACGCATTTGAATACGTATGTGAAATATCCAAATATATTCAAGATTTTCACAATGTAATACTGCTGAGAAAAAGAACTTTTCTAATGTGCATTTTCGGTTCGAAGGTCATTTGGAACATGGGACTTTGGTAGTTGGTGCTCATTTCTCAAATTCATCATACAATGAACTTTAAAAACAGTTATAGAATCAAGAAATTCTTCAAACATATTGCAGATCTCGTCGATATCCTCCCATCATAATCATTTCAACTGTCTATAAATTATCCACAACTTCCGTTTGCTGGGTTAATTATTTTTAAGTATTTCTTATAGCTCCGTAATATTTTCATATTTTATTATCTGGAATATACATTGTATGTATATATGCCCCCCTCCCCCCCCCCCCCGCCACATTTCTATATCCTCGCTTCTATTAAAGTTCAATTCGAGACTTCGAATCTTTAAAATTACTCCGAACTTATATTTCTTAAGGCTTCCTTTAAATTACCATTTTCGAAAAATATTTTAACTTTAACAAAAATTCGCTAATTTCAGGAAGAAGTTGGAGAAAGCGTACGAAAGCTGAGATTAGTACTACAGTGTCGGGGTATTTTGATATATAAAGAATACGAATATCTTTTCATCCCAAAAATATCAAAGATGTAAAGAGAAGAAAGTGTAAAGAAAAGACTGTCTTTCAGCAATCTATAAGCTAGTAAATTTCTCTTGCTATTAAACATTAAGAACCTTCCAATTTCATTGGTCGTTTTTTCGCTTCAAATTCGGGAGGGCAGAATCAGTCGTTTCAGAAGGATGGTATGTATCCAAATCATCATATATTTTTAATTTAGTACGATTGAAATCAGTTGTTAAGTTGAAGAAACCTGAATCGATCAAATAGACTGCACTGAAACCGAGGTAGAGGAATAACAAATACTTCAGTCCAACTGCGCTAATGTTTTGAGACAAAAGCATAGCGAGGAGGGACTATGTTAAATCTTTTACCTCAGATGAGTTCACAAGGACTAGTTATGGGTGGGTTGACATGAAATGTAGTGTATTAGTGGGGGGAGTTCGATGTGTTTGTGAAAGTGATAACTTTTCAGAGCTGGGAAGGATGTCTTCTTCCGCTGTCTATATACTCGATCTTAAAGGCAAAGTAAGTGAAGAGTGAAATCCCGGCATATCTTTGTGCTTCTTTTTCGAATGCAGACATTCAGGTGCGAGATATCGGCAGAAAATTCGAAGTCAGATCGTTTTGGAGTAATTGGTCTGACAAGCTCTTACTAAAGCATGTTTAGTATAATGATCAAAATTAAAATAGGTGTTGTTAGTAGGCCAGATGAAGAAGTAATGTTTTCCTAAAGATATTACGTCTATTTACGACACATTCTCTTAATATTCTTGATAACAGGCGATAATATCAAGAAATTATCGAGGCGATATAGACATGGGTGTCATCGATAAGTTCATGCCGCTGTTATTGGAACGTGAAGAAGAAAGTCGTCAGAGTCCAGCTCTCGAGCACCCTGAAGCTACGTTCATATATATCAGACATTCAAATCTTTACTGCAAGTCTTCTAATTCATATTGTTTGTTGTTGAGTCAGTGGAATCATAAAGCTTCTGATGTTACATAAATTTCTCATACATTGATATTGTACTCTGCACTACAGCAAGCAGCTCTTAATTGCTGTAGTGTAGAGCAAATATTGTCAGTTTGAGTAATGTAGATTCATTATTAGTGTAGAAGGTATTAGTTTAGAAAGGATCTGTTTTCAGTTATTTGAAATTTTCACATAGGTTGTAGAAACTTTCACATAAGTTGTTGTAGATTCTGAAGCTGTAAACTTATACTTTGGTGTGGTTTATCAGATATTTTCAAATTCATACCAGTTGCTTTTTGGTTGTAGATTACCTCACGGAAATTTTAAAAAGGTCTTTTTGCAGTCGATTTTATATTCTCATCCTTTCAGTTGTTTCAATATCACGGAAGAATGTAAATGTAGCACTAGTGCTTACATTTCTGTACAAGATAGTGGAAGTATTCGGGGAATATCTTAAAGATGTCGAGGAAGAATCGGTTCGTGATAATTTTGTAATCATTTATGAATTGCTCGATGAAATGATGGATTTCGGCTATCCACAAACAACTGAGGGAAAAATTTTGCAAGAGTGAGTTTCTTCCTTTTGGTTAGTGCATATTTATTTGTAAGGGCTCTAGAGATTTCTTGATATTGCTACAAATACATCATAGATGGTTAATTATGTGTGATTAGGTTCATTACGCAAGAAGGACACAAATTGGAAACTGCACCTCGACCACCGATGGCTGTCACAAACGCCGTTTCATGGCGTTCAGAAGGTCTCAAGTATCGCAAAAATGAAGTGTTTTTAGATGTCATAGAATCTGTTAATTTATTGGTAAGTCCAAATTATTTTGGAAAAACAGTTTTTTATTGTTTCTTCTAGCTTACTGCAGTGTGAGAACCTTCTTTTATGTTTGTTTCCAAAAGATCTCTGGTTCGACTTCGATTTGTAATATGTTGTTGCAGGCAAATGCAAATGGTGTAGTGCTACAAAGTGAAATAGTTGGTTCAGTTAAGATGCGCGTCTATTTGACGGGTATGCCAGAACTTCGATTGGGTCTTAATGACAAAGTTTTATTTGAAAGTAGTGGGAGTGAGTTTTTTCCTTTGTTTTTTTTTCATGCAGAAAGAACTTCTTTATCTCTGAATATACTTTCAAAAATAAAGTATTTTCCTCCTTCAAAATATATGGTTAAATACTGATATTTTTTTCCGTCTTTAGCTTAGGGAAGCAAGTATGTCTTTATTGTTGATTTGTTAAGCAAATTTCTATTATTACTTTTCAGGAGGTAAAAACAGATCGGTGGAGTTAGAAGATGTAAAATTTCATCAATGTGTTCGTTTATCTCGTTTTGAAAATGACCGAACAATCAGTTTTATACCACCAGATGGAGAATTTGAATTGATGAGTTATCGTTTAATGACTGTTGTTAAGCCACTTATTTGGATGGAAGCAGTCGTTGAAAGGCATAGTCATTCAAGGATCGAATATATGATAAAGGCAAATGGTTATCAGAGTTTTCTAAAATTTGTCCATAATATCCTTCCCTATCAAAATGAACTTTGAAGCTATGATCAACGAACTACTCTTAGCATGCTGCAACTCTACCAATTTTCTTTTTCCTATTTAGTTTAGTTTCAGCGGGAACAGAAATGGTTTATACTTTTCAAATGTTGTAGTTATGCAGTATAAATTTCCTGCAATAAAAATTCATTGTCACGTTTTTTTTTACCAATTTTATTCAAGGTCATTTGCATCGGCTACAGTAATAATTCTTGCTATTTTCAAAGTTTATCATTCTTTCAGGCGAAGTCACAGTTCAAACGACGTTCTACAGCAAATAATGTGGAGATTATTATCCCAGTACCAAGTGATGCTGATTCACCCATATTCAAGACCTCCATTGGAACAGTAAAGTACATGCCGGAACAAAATTCATTTGTTTGGACAATTAAAAGTTTTCCAGGTTATGGAGCTTTTCAACCTCAAAAAGACGAAAAATGTTTACCTGCGACTGTAGTGAAAAAGTAAATCAAATCAGGAATCAGCATAATATTTCAGGGGGGATAATCTTTATTCATGGCAGTTCTGAGTCTTTCCTATATATTTTCAACCTGATATTTCAGCTAACTTATCGGAAGTCGGAGGTAACATTTTGATTGGCATTAGCTCAGAGGCTAGATGAATAGTGGTACCAGAAAAACCATTTGGTAATCTGATTTGACGTCCAATCGAATTTGAATTCACCTTCTAGATATTGCAGTGCAAACAATCTGATTAATTAACTGAAGTTGCAGGTGGCAAAGAATACTTGATGCGAGCACATTTCAACTTACCGTCGGTTCAGTGTGAAGACCGCGAAGGTCGTCCGCCAATGAAAGTAAAATTTGAGATTCCATATTTCACAACTTCTGGAATACAGGTACATTTCTTTCGATGATAATTTTACCTAGTTGTGTTTATTGCAGCAGTTAATTAATTTTTTTTGAAGTCATGGATACATCCGTTCTTCTCTAGGTTATTCCCAATCAGTGGATATAGCTATATTTCGCTCTTTGTTCTAATGGTCTGTGGTGCTTTAGTTGTACCTACTTCACTTCCATTCCTAGCCGGAAATTTCCATCTCTTTCCATTTTCCTCTTTGGCCTTGGTTTAAGAATGATTTTTCTTTACTCTCGCGAAACTTTGTTAGCACTGTTTTTGGAACAGGTCCTTACAAATTTTCGTTTTCTTTATCAATAATTTTAATTCATTTTGTAGGTACGCTACCTTAAAATTATTGAAAAAAGTGGTTATCAAGCTTTACCATGGGTGCGCTACATTACACAAAATGGTGACTACCAACTGCGTATGATGTAATCATTTCTCATTTTATATCTGTATTTAATGAAATTTTATGTGAAACCGGTGAATTGAAGCATTATGTCTTGCTGTCCGTTTTTTGCAATCGGCAGCCGTTTTACATGAATCATTAGAATCATTATATCATTCGAATTTCATATAAATGTTTCAAAGTTCTCGTTTCTTAAGGCAGTCTTATATTTTCAAAGCTTCATTAAATAAAATTCATTTGATGTATTCCATTGGTTTGTTTTATTTTTTATTTCATAATTAGAGAAACCTTGATTTATTGAAATTATACCTTTTTTTTTAAATGAAGAAGAGTACTACTAAATCTTCTTAAAATTTTTGAAAGGTGTTGTCTTGTACTTGTTTATGTGTTGAAAAAAACACCAAATGTCTTGAATGTCCTTTACGTAGTCGTAATGGGTCATCTCATTTTCATTACTGCATTTTTGTTGATTTTATGTTTTGTTCCCATTGAATTACTGAGTCTTGTAATGCCTATTTTGATGTCGAACCTTTATTTTAAGATAAGCATTTCAAATATTCAAAATGTTGAGATATCGAGCATGTATATATCCGATAATTAGGAGACAACGTTGAATTTTAGGTCATACTTATGCGCTTTATTCTCCAGTTCGGACTTCCGTATTAGAAATACAGAGGAATCTAGCAGTGATGAAATACCCTGTTTAAACTTTGATGCACTCTTATCCTTCACTGTGGATCTCTTATAACCAAAATATTTTTTTTACTTTTCTATGCTGTTTCATTGAAATGATTAGTTTATCTCCTGAATTTCGTGCTGCATGATGCATTTTTGTTATCTTATATTGCCCATTTTGTGATTTTCTAAACTTAATGTTATATGATGCATTTTTGCTATTTCCTTGCATTGCCTACGTTTTCATGTTCCCAGTTTTTCTGTTGTTAACAGTGGATTTTGTTTGAGAAAGATGAAGTATGGGTTTGTAATAGAAATTTGATTCAGGTAAGAAATTTTTAGTGCAAATAATAAATGGGAGGGAGAATGGTAGATGATAAGCTTGTTTGCGAAAAGGAAATGATTATTTGTATTTGTATAGGATAACCATTCTCAAGTTGTATAGGATAACCATTATCACGAATCTTGTGCTTTGCAGTTCTTCACACTCGTCTTTACTCTTTAAACAAACGAACGCTGGATTAACTTGCAGGAAGATCTTAAAAGTGTTATCTGCAGTCTGAATCTCATAATGTAGATCAGTACTTGTGAAATGTTTCTTGCTTATGTTTGTAATAAATTATTTCTCGGTTTCCTCACAAAAATATTGAAAGCATTTATGTTTGGGCAAGTATCTTTTCGAGCTCAGAACGGTAGTTACGTTTAGGATATATTTTCCACGTCTGAAAGTATGTGGTCTTTTTTAAAACTTAGCTTTGGTAAGGATATTTTTTCTTTGTTGCATAAGGAAGTAATCTCGTTTTCTCAATGCTTTTAGTTGCTACCATAATTTACTTATCAAATTAATGAAATAATTCAATAGCATTCCTCAGTTTTAACGCCGCTGCAGTACATAAGAAGCTTTGTTGTAATATTGACTTTCCAACGCCTCGATAGCTGGTAATCCATTCGTTGTTTAGTTCACATTTCCATTCAATTTGGTCAAATGAAATTCTCGGCGTTGCAGTATTAAAACTTTTTCCTACAAACATTGAGGTGGTGGTAATTAAGTTTATGCTTTTTGATGACTGAGAGAGAGAGGGAGAAAAAGTTTGGGAATTATGTTATTTTATGTTGCAGAAATGATTCTCAGGAAGATGGTTTTGAACAGTTCACTCCGCTGTTTTGGAATCTTCCCATCACAAGTGTCTTGCTTTAGGCGCGAGTTCTCTCGACTTATTTCTACATATTCAAGTCAGAAGCAAAGATGTAGAAGAAATTCGTATTTGATGTTGTGTTCATTTAATGTATGTGCAATTTTTTTGATTGTAAAGCATTTGAGAGGTTCGTTGTTTCGTTTCACTCCGGAAATGCTCTCTGAATGTTTCAATTTCAGGTTCCATTGCTTGAATTCGAGCAACGCAAGCTCAGCGACAGCTTAAAAGGAGCAGAACATGGCATCCGAAAAGATGGTGAAATGAATGGATGCATTGGAATAGAATATAGAAATGACGTACGAATGACGGAGGTGACAGTTCCGAAAACGGTGGCTAAAGAATCAATTTCTGGTTTGGAAGTAGTAGAGGTGGTTACGGCCGAGCTGCAAAGAAATGGGAAGTTCTTTATTCTTCCTATGAATGACGCTATCGCTATGGAAGCTGTCACGAAAGCTTTCAGACTTTTTCTCAATATCGGTAAGGTGAACATCAGTTTTTTATTCCTAACTTCATAATATGTGAAAATATTGAAGGTAAAGCTTTAAAAATGGGGAGATTGGTTGGTGTGGGAGAAGGCTGCTAACATTAGAAACTACTTTTCCCTTTGAAACTAATAAAATTATGAAATTTTCTCATGATTTCTTTAGTTTTAAAGAAAGCAGTAATCATTTCGGCTTTTCAGTATGAATTGTTAAATACTAGGGATTCAACCGGAGTTCATCATTGATTCCTGCGTCTCTATGCCTCAGCTGTTTGTATCACTAACTCAAAAAGGAGAAACAAGCATTCAGATAATCGAACTTATTGTGGATTTCTGCCAGCTTACTTACGAAGACTCCATTCGCATTTTCGCAACGTAGGTTTCATGTTGTTTATCTATCGGTCTGGAGGTCTTTTTACGTTGTTTCACTAGTCAATATTCCATTAACTTATTCATTTTAACCATTGCCTATTTTCGTTAATAAAGCCTGTCATTTTGAGTCTCATTCGAGAAAACAGGAAATTAAGGTTCATGATCTTTCTTAGATATAATGAAGAGCTACTATCAGTAGGACCTGAAGAAGTTCAGAAATGCATGGAAGTACTTGATTCATTTGGATTCCAAGACGAAAAATTGGGAGAAGCCATTTTTTCATGTCCTGCGTTGCTTTTTGCCCATAAGTCTAATAGACTGGCGCAAAATGCCGAGAATTTATTTTCCCATTTCAGTAAAAATCAGGTTTGTTTTTAGTAAATATCTCATATCATATTACGAGCGTAACAACCTTCATCGCTTCTGCGGAAAATTTCTTTATTTATTAAGAAAAGCTTATAAAAAAATGAACCATGAAGAAGTTAGAGTGGTCTAGACAGCACCTTTATTCTTTGAAAGGATAAAGGTGCTGTCTAGACCACTCTAACTTCTTCATCCCAGAAAATACTGGAAAATTGATAGTATATAATTGCTGAATTTCAGTTTTATTCGTTGTTAAAAGCCTGTCCAGAAATCTTGTTGGGCAATACTAACGAAACAGAGGATAAAATTGAATATATTTATTGTCATATGCTCATGGAGGGCGAAGACTTTGCAAACTGCACGAATCTCGCACAAATATCATTGGAGGAATTGATAGATCGCCATGAATTCTTGCTGAAAACAGGCACTTATAAAACTCCGGATCTAAAAAGACCACAGTTAAAAGTGGTTTGTTTATACAGGATTTGAAGATTTCCTTAATGGTAAAAACTGGATTTGGACTGAAAACTTCAGATTTAAATAGTTCCATATTAGAGATTTATCAAGTTGCATAGGTTTTCTTGTCATTAACACTTTTGAAATGATGAAACGCATCTGGGTCGTGTATCTCTGTTCCATACTAGTCACTTGTCCTGAATTTCATTTACGTATGGATGACATCTCTGGACTCTGGCTTAATGGTGGTTTTTTTTTTTTGTCATGAATGTCACTCTAAATCATCTGGTCCTTACGTTGTATTTCCAGAAAAATCCCAAACTAAAGAAGATTCTGGATAGCAGTGCGGAACATTTCGCGAAAAGAATAGGTCTTGTGTCCATAGAGGAATGGTACCTATTCAAAGAGTTACAAAATAAACGACGGCTAATAGAATCGGAGGGAAAAGTGCGTCCTTTTGAACGGATCAAGCCATCAATGCGAAAGCAGTTGGAACGTAAGAAGAAATCACTTCCGTCGAATGATTCTGAAACGTTTGAATCATACAATGAAAGGTATTAATAAAAGATATTCGAACTGGGACTTTTACATACTACCTTTCAATATGGGCTCTTTTTCTTCATCAATATGATGGAAATGAAGGTGATATGTTTTATGAAGTGTCTGATATTTCGGGCCGAGATTACAGGCTACGACTAAAGTGGGAAGGTTACCTTTACTTTCAAAAAGATGAAGACAAACTACTGGAACAAAAGGAAAAAGAGGAAGAGCATGAAAGACTTATCTTATGCGGTGTTTATGTACAGAATTATCATCTATTAAAACACAGCATTATCTAACATATTCCCAGAAAGAAAGAGAATCACCGACACGCTGAAGAAGTATATGTATATGCCAAGTCTTCCATGAGAATGTGGATTTTAAGCTACTGTAAGTTTAGGAGGTCTTGAAAAGAATCACTGTTTACGATTACACGGTTTATCCTTGTAGAACGTAAGGCTTCATGTAGGTTTTTTCTTAAGGTACAGATATGGGGAGTGAGTGTGTGTTTGGTGGATGGTTCTCTCCAGTCTTGATGGGTTGAGTTACCGGATATCATCACTGGTATTAGTTCATTCACTAAGTAGACAATTATTACTAAGGTTATTGTGGGATTCTGGAACGGCATGGAATGTTTCCGGAAGTGTTCAGAGTCTGTTAAAAAGGTTCAACTTTTAATATCTGAACAGGTAATTGAGGAAGCCCGTTATCTCGAACTCCTGGGAGAAGTGTTTCTTGTGAAATGTGTATGGTAGGAAGGTATCAGGGGTTAACGTACATGCAAAAGCTAGCAGGCTCTTTCTCATACTCATCTCGCTGATTTCCTTCACCTCTGTCTGCGGAAGACGCCTCACTTCACTCTACTGTTCTTGCATTTGATTTCCTGGCGTTGTGGTTCAGTGTGGATACGGTTTGCGAGGTAGACTTGAAGTGTCTCCCGGGTGCATCTAGATTCCTGTGAAAGCCCTCTTCTCTTCACTTGCTTAGTTGAGAACTTCAGACCTAATTGACTTGATTATTCAGGGCAAAAGAAATTTTATCAGTGCTTTAATATTTAGCTTGTAGCTTTTCAAGTCTCTTAATTTTCATTCATGTTTATTTTCTTAAGTAATGACTAGCATGATTATATGCTTAATTTTAAAGGTGTAAAAGTGCAGAAGACAGAATAAATTTTCTTAATAGTAACGCGAAGATTATTAGTATGGGTATATTGATATTGGAATAAGATTTGACGGTACCTGGAATAATAGCAAATTTTGATTTTCAACAAATTTCTTCAGATCTTGATTTTCAGGGCTCACAAGATAAACATATGGCTTCCTCTTACAGATCCGATGCTCTACTTCTTTTATCTTTCCTACTCAAGAAAATAATTTACATAAACTAATTTGCTGGAGCATGCCACGCAATGTTATTGAAAGTATAAAACAAAAGGTTTATCGACTACTGACGTGCTGTACTATGTAGTTATCACGTTTGACCTAATTCATTAATTTTCTTAATTTTCAGGGATGTAAACACTGAATACTTTATTGGTAAGTTGGGTGGAGAACTTCATCAAACGTATTATTGAATAGCATACCGAGTGGAGCTTCCTAATCCTTTGCAACACTCTTTTCTATTCACTTTGAAGTATGTTCACCGTCCTCGAATTTCGATAATTTGGATCCTCCTTACTTGTTTGTAATTTACCTAGTAAATATGAATCTTTCAAACGGAAAAAGTAAATAATTAATCGCATCAAGTATATGAATAGCTGCATATTTCGTGTATGATGTTTTTAATGTGTTATATCTGTTATAGTCATTTCAAACAAGGTCTAGATTTTGAATTATAAATGATTGGCGCGGAAGAAATCTAAGGTCTTTCTTCGAAGCAAGCTTATACTTGATAATGGGAGAACATATAATTGTCTTTTATCAATGTAATTTCGTGCGATTATGATAAGAGTTGAGTTGTAACGAGTCGGAGTACGGGACCTTCGTCAGATATCTTTCACAAAGTGATTTCACAGCAAAAATGAGGAAGTGCAGTTTTATTGGAACTGCTTTAGAAAAACTTAAGTGGGAAGAAGTACAATTTCATTTCATCTGTTTTGCGAAGCTTAGATTAATTGATAATTTGTTGATTTAGCCAGGAATCTTACTGTTACAAAGTAAAGGGGCATTGTTTTATTAAACTATGATAGTGGCGGTTGATATAGTGAAAAAAGGTGGATTGATTGAGAAATCGGAGAAAAAATTGATACCAATTTCTAAACAATTTTGATATAGATTCCTCAATTGTTGCACTTTTTTATTAAATAATTGTGTTGCAGTGAAACATTCAGGGTTCTCTTTTTTATAGATCAAACTTGGGTGTAATGTTGAATCAGTCGTCGTCTTCTTCCACTAAAAATTACATTGATGTTTGTGGCGAGATTAACGAATGTAGTAGCACTGCAGCTTCTCAGCAGCGTCTTCTTAGCGGTGGTACTGGTTCTAGACAGTTGAAGCAGGAGGAACCAATCGCTGCTGCTACCAGTGCTTGTGCAATCATCACAAATGAAACACCTAATATGAGCACTCATGATGAGGTTCGTTTTTAAAACTTAGTTTTCAAATGCATTTTCTTCGGTTAATGTGTTGCTTTGGCTTGCTGTTGAATTCAGTAATTGCCAGAATTTAGAATATATTTTTGATCCGCAATTTAGAATATGTCTTTGGTTCGTGATCTTGGTCTTATCCGACGGTGGATGAATTTAGCGGTGATTGGATGCTGTGGAATATTTAGACTTTATTGCGAAAATGACATTGAAGAACCCTGAGTTAAAAAGATTGTGATAATGTTTTACCAAGATCCATGTCAATTCTGAAAAATTTCAGGCTGGTTGCATGGCGAGTCTATTTCAGACTCCCCCTTGGGCATCAGTGGCTATTCTTCCGCCACATAATTTAGCCCAGCAACAGGGAGGCGTTACGAGAGAAGTTGTTGGAGGTACAAATCATCCATTGGCTATGCGTTATTCGAGTTTTGATGGAACCGCTGCTGCTGCTGCTGCTGCTGCTAAAGATCCTATGAATCCAATGAATGCACCTCTTTATCAAGTTAGTATTTGCCTTAATGATATTTGCCAAATGTTTGTGCGTTTATGCGCTAAGGGTGATCGAAAATAAAGACTGGGTATTGTCATTGGAGGACCACGGCTTTCTCGACTCTTCGAATTAGATTTGAGATGACGCTTTTGTACGTTAAATTGTCATAATTACATGTAATCCATGCGTAGCATGGGAATATTCCTCGAAAAAAAAAATTGAAAAAATTTTGAATTGCTGGATTAAAGCACGTTGACCGATTATATTTCTTAGTTTACATTATACTTAACCCATAAATTAAAGACACTGTTTAATGTGATTACTGAGATGAATAAAAATGTGTAAAAAGATAAAGTGCGAGCTATGCAGGGCTGTATTATTTCATATTTTTGTGGGGTAATGTACCTATAAAGATACGTAATCAGTGCTGCAATAAATGATGAAGGAAACACTGACGGTTTTTATATTTTATAAAAATATTGGTCATAAAATTTTTCCTTGCTTTTAATTTATCTATTGCTCCTGAATTTTGTAGATATTAAAATCCTTTTTTCGTTGTGTTCATGTAATGGAGATTTTAATACTAAGGTGGGAGCTTGGCTGCATAGATTGCCTTTGCAGTTTTAAATTCAAATTGAAAAAATTTCCCGTGCATTTTTGTTATTCGTCCTATTCACGTATTCAGATTCTTGAATATATGTCCTTGCATTTACCGCTGAACTTTAACTATCACGAAGGCATATTTGATACGTCACATGTCGCTGTAGCTTGCGTACTGTTAGGTAATGTCAACACTGCAGAAATGCCGAGCAGTCACACGTTTCACGCCACTTATTACATACTGCGATAATATTCTTTGTCAATCTCCTTAGTCTGCCATTTTGATTCCGCTGATTCTTCGATGTTGATGTCTATTTTGACTCCATGATTCTGACTTCTTTGATGAGACTTGTCAGGAAACTACCAATATTCAACGTTGTTGTCGTTAATTTATATTTACTTTTCTTCAAAGATTTTAGAAAAGTTTTACGCTAACTACTTGTTTAAACCGGACTTTTCAATGAAAAAACAGGAATGGATTTTGGGCGAATGCGACTGGAAAAATTATCAGGACTTTGGAAATTGTCATGGCTGGCTTTTTCATGTCCTGTTCCACATTTGAATAATTGATCCAAATTTCAAAGCACTGGATCGTTTATTTAGTGATGGATAGGGAACAAAGGTGCTTTCACGAGTAAAGTACAGTTATTAATTTAGAGTTTTCTTTTTAATTAGCTAGTTTTTCAACAAATTCGGCTTTTTCATTATCTCACATGTTCGGGGAAGTGCAGCATCCACATTTCTACCCAATCTTCCATTTTGTTTTTTTGCGATAGCGTATTTAGTGAGGGTAGAGATAGTTAGTCTCATTCCACAATTTAGTGCACTGTGATTCGTAATTTTTAGTGTCGGAAATTTGCTTCCTGCATGGAATACTCAGCTCTTAGTAAGGTATATAACACAAAAAAATGAAACAGGTTTAAATGGAAGAAAAAATCAATGAGGACAAAATTGAGAATCATATAACGGTGATGTGCTTTTTTGGATGTAGAAATTATTACTGTTACTTGGTAGAATTTCTCTGTTTCGTTCCCTGATTTTCCATTCACTTTTTTCTATTATAGTCATCGTTAGATTTTTTTTAGTCAAGCTTTTGTCGTATTAATCAATTGGTTCGATTTTCGCCTAGTAAAGTTTAAAAATCATCTCATGAAAGGAAACCGTAAAAGTAGTGGAAAAAAATGTCATAGTTCTTGTTTCGGAATGATGCGTATTCGCCATATCGCGTATACTATTTGAGTATATCTGTTCATATCTTGTATCTTTCGCTCATTATCTCACATATTCGGAAGGGGTGCAACACCTACAGTTTTAACCACTCTTCTATTTTTCTTTTCTTTTTTTTTGCGACAACGATTGGGACAGAAAATTTTTTCTCGTCTTTTATTTTATTTCTTTTCAGTCATTTTCACTTCTCTGTCTTCCTTTTTTTGTCATTTTTTTCATATATTGAATACTGAGATAGAAAAATGGTCTAGCAGAGTTTGTTTTATTTTATTTTATTTTTTATTTTTTTATTATAGTTTTATTATTTTATTTCTGTGCGTACTGATAAAATGACGAAGGTCGTAGATACCAGCTTTTATTGGGTAAGAAACATTTATGAAAACCAGTTTGACATTCTTCGAAGAGATTGTCGTTTGAGTACATTCAAGCTTTCGTCCATCATTTTCTTTATCTCACTATTTTTTCGCAGTGCACTTTATGTGTACTCCAATTATAACATTCATGATTGATGATGTTTCTTGATTTCTCTGAAAATACATTTTCCACCTTTAATTTTTGTTTCGTTTTTTGTGGGACATTGTTACATTTTTTTTATCTGTGCTGAGACACATCTTCCAAAACTGAGGAAAGATGACCTTCTTAATATTGATTTGTTGCAGTTTCCCCCAATCTATGGTCATTCTGGTCATTCTGCTATTGAAACTGGAATTTCATAAAAGTTGATCCTCCAACGTACTGCAGAGACTGTTTCATGTTGTTCGGTATCTTACTATTAATTTTCTAGCTGCATCTCCATATTTTAGAAGTAATTAAAGTGTCTAGTCTAGGTTTATATCTTTTATTATGAGTCATTTAAAGTTTTTTTAATATATCCGAACGGCGCACCAAACTTGTACTTATATTCTTGTAGGTTATGGAAGTAAGTTTATCAGTGGATTTTTAATCTTTTCGGAACAGACATAGATGGCCAGTTGTAACTTTTTCAGCCCATTCTTCATAATTAATTCACTGGTTGTGCTATTTTTTGCAGTACCAAAAGAAGTCATAGAAGTAGACTGCACGACTGAATCTAATGGAACTGAGTAAATGATAGTTATCATGCGGTCGGTTTTGTGACAGGCTATAAAAGATGTAAACGCTGGAAATTTCTCTTTCTCTCTCAATTAATCAATCTCTTTCTCATGGTTGTTGTACTCTCTGGTGGGAAAATACTCACTTTTTGCATTTGGAAAGGAGCAGAAGAAAAAACTGTCATCGCGAAAGTTTGAGAGAAGTTCGATTGGCCGATCAAAAGTTTCAATAGCTTGCTGATTTTCGCACGGGGGATAAGAGTGGTTTGTTTACAACGGCAGCAATGAAGTGTGTCGGAATCAAATTTCTTGAAAGAGACGTTAAAAAGGGATTCATGCCCAGGATAAAGTACAGCAGTAGCTATTAAAGTATGTTGTACTTTTCTGGACACTTTCAAAAGAGTCAGGATTTTTCCATGAATATGTAGCTAAAGGGGCTGTATTGCTGAAAAAAGCGGAGAATTACTGCTGGAAGTTCTACATAGGCAAGGAGCATTTTTTCAGTATTTCTGTTTCGAAATGTAAGTGTTACATACAACAGTCATTAATTGAATTGTCGTACTTCACTATAACCATAATATTACCCTTAAATATATCTCTGTGTCTCGGTAGGGGGAAACATCAGGTAAACACCATGCAAATTTTGAATCAATATAGGAGATTTGAAGAAATCGAGGTTGTATTATGTTTTTTCTATCCTTCTACTCCTCCAGCTGTTGTCTAATTAGCTGGGAACAAAAGATAAAAACTTATGAATCCACTAAGTCTAAGAAACTAACTGATGACTTTTTTCTTCTGTAAGGACTATTAAGGATTACTTTGTTTCAGCAAAGTGACAGTCTTTTTAGGACCAAATATTGTTTTGTTGTTCACAAATTATCACATCTTCCAGATTCTTTTAATTAATGTTGCTTCAGTATGTTTCTCTTCATACGTACGCTATTATTAGCTTTTGACAAATAATGACTTTGTGTGTTTTTTTTTTTTCATATGAGCAGTTTTCTTACCAATCTTCTCTCTTTTGTTCTAAATGCACTAAATTGTTGGAAATTCCTACGAACTATCTTTTTGTAAGCTTGAGCAACTCGCTCATGTCTAATCCAAGTATGAATGAAGCGGGATGAATGATAAAACAAAATATCTTCTTGATGTGAAAGTAATTCTAAAAGTATAATTATTAATAATAAATATGTGAGAAGTTTCTCCACATCAAGTTTTTGGCAGTATACTGAGAGAGAATGGAGAAGTGACTATGTGTAGAGATCACTGTAATGGATGAAAAACTATGCGCTTTTCACATTAACCAGCTCTTTCTACTTTTCTCTACCGACATGACTCAAATGACTAAAACCATAAACCTACAATTTAATTTTGTGAGGTTGGGTTATCACTTTGTTATGTTTCGTTTTTGTTTTATTATTAGCATATTATAGATTAAGACAATGCCTTAGGAGAAGCTTTTAGTTTCGATGGTGCTAGTCAGATTTTCACTACCTTGATATAAAATGGCGCAACTAATGTCATCCGACCAAGTTATTTGTTTTAAATATGTGGGGTCTACATCTTGTTCCCTTCCACTGTATTTGTTGCAAGATTTACAATGCACGCTATCATCCCGGGTTACTGATTCAACAATCTCATTTTCGAGTGGTACGTTTCCTTATGTGCTGGCAGTTCGTTATTGTATAAACCAGCATATTTCTTCAGCGTGCTACCCTACAATACGATTAAGCAAGCCTTTGTCGTGTTATATAATGTCGAACATCATGCAGGTATTCGCCTGTATCAGGGTTGGGCAATTAATTCCATAAGGAGACACATAAGAAATTGGAATGGTTTTTGACCCAGTGCATCGTATTCCGCATATATATATATATATATAATCCTTTCAATAAAAAACAATAATTGAAACATTATAATGGATTCACCGAAATGTGGAGGACTAATTACATCATTATTCAATGTTGGAATGATGAATTTATGATGAAAGATCAATGGACTTTAAATTTGGAAGGTTTTAATTTAAGGTTAGTCTGGCATGCTTATTTATGGTATGACAAAAAAGTAGATAAAAATTTGGGAAATCACTGCATAAGACCAGCACTGGTTAAAATTTGAAAAATTACATAGATTATACTCGAAAACACAAAGCTGGATATTCCCATCTAAAACATTTTATATAAAACAACTAGGAGAAAGAATCTGGCCAACATATAATTATATATTGAGAAAACAAAGTGCAGAAATGGAATTAAAATCAAAGGTGGTAAAGGAAACTGATCCAGACATATATATATATATATATATATACAGTCAATCAGGGCAGCCTCCACTGTCTGCCAAATTGGCGGATGGGCT